ATATTAATTTTTTATATACATTTCAGCATACTTAACGTTTTTAAGATCTCACAATACTTCACGGTTGTTAAAGTAAAATATTTTCCTTAATCTATTAAAGCAAAAACCTGCCCTCTCTGAAAACGAAATAACTTTAGTTCTTCTTTTATTCTGTCTTCATTTATTAATCAAGGGCCAAGGTTATGAATGTGAATGCCCTCCGTCATTAAAACCAGTCAAACCATTTTTAATACATTTTGATCGCATATTTGGTGATCTGACGTTATCACATAAAAGTACAGTTTCACAAAAAGTGTGTGGTTTTACACTGGAAAAAAATAGTTAACGTATTATATAATTTAAAGTGTAATATATGTATTCCCAATTTTCTATTAGAAGTTTAATATTCAACACATATGAATATATGATTATAATATATAGATTACAAAATTTGTTGAAATACAGAAAAAATTCAATAGTTATCATTTATCATCAGTTCTTAGTTATCCTCAATGCAAAGTGAATTTAATTGTAATCAAATAAGAAAATTAAAGAACAAACAAAATATAAATACAAGAGAAACAGTTTTTAATGCCAGTTAACAGCATTAAAAAACGTTGGAATGATTTAAATTTCTGTCTAAAACCTTTAAATTAATATTACTTACTTACTTAGTTGGCCAGTACAGATGTGAGTTGTCCTTGGCCGCGCCGAGTAGCCTCCGCCAATCAGTCTGATTAGGTACTTGCTGTAGGCAGTTGGTAGTACCAACCGCCCCCAAATCAGTCTTCCACCGAATCAAGCTTGCGGACATCCTCTACCGCGTTTTCCATCTGCGGGTACCGAATCACACACATTTCTAGCCGAAGCACTTTCTTCCATTCGCACAACAAGACTAAGTCAGCGAAGCCGCTGAAGTTTTATGCTATTAACTATGTCAATGTCTCCGTATAGTTCATACAGCTCATCGTTCCATCTAATTTGATACTCGTCGCCAACGCGTAAGAGACTATAGATTTTCCAAAGAATATTTCACTAGAATGCTCTTAGCGCTTTCTCATCACTGTTGGAAATTGTCCAAGCTCCTGCACCATACATCAGGGCAGGCATAATAAGAGACTTGGAGAGTGTGATTTTTATTAATCGAGAGGGGGCTTTATTTCTCAATTGCCTACTTAGCCCGAAGTAACATTTGTTGACAAGAGTGATTCTTCGTTGAACATCTAGGCTGACGTCATTTTGGTTATTTTATGCATATTAATATGTATAAAGAGTTCTGCATTCACAATAACAAAAGAATAAACAATAATGCAATTTGAATGTTTATTATATTTAATTTTTATCTGAGATATGTATAGTATTCACTAAATAAATTCTATCTAAAGGACTATTGAGATTTTATTTATTGCTTTCATAATAACGATTTCACTAGAAAATGTTGAAAAGGGCGCCTTATCATCCTGTCTGCATAAAAAAAATATGCATGTAAGCTATTGAATTTTGTAATTAAATGAATAATTCATTAAATATTAAATTTACAGAACTGATGTCTTACTCAGTTCATAATCTTTTAAGGTTGTAAAATATCTCTGTCAAGGTTAAAAAAATTCATATTTCAATGCGCACAAAAACTCATAAAAAATTGGTACAAAAGAATTCGCACTTTCTTATCAATCGAAATGTTTTTCTTGAGCTAATTAATGAAATAAAAAAATTAAAAAAAGCACGCTGAAAGTAATCAAATCACGCGCTCTTTTTTTATTCAATAATTTATTTTTGTTAAAAAAATTCTATACATAACATGAGCTATTCAGAAATCACTGTGGAAGTCTTCCACAAAATCGAGAAAATCCATTTAAGATTTTCACTTTCGGTAAACGTAAAAACAAATTTAGAATAAAATAGTTTTTTTTAAAAACAGAAATAAAATTAAAATCAAATTTTTGAATTCGAAACGTTTATTTTTAAAGCATCTTGGCACGACAAATGAGTTTTCTATTTTCTGTCAGAAAAATCATCGTGGGATTTTCCTTGACCAAGTATGAGACAAATTTTTAGAACGACTAAACTCCATAAAAAAATATTATTTTCACATCATTTTTGTCAGACTAAAGCACATCAGTCTTCAAAGTCTGATGTGCACATCAGTCTTCAATAGACTTTCAAAAGTGACAATTATGAATGAAAAAAGTGTGCGCCGTCGGTAATTATTTATGTGCATTTTACAATAGATTGGAATAAATTTTCTTATTTATAAATAAATATCATTAATTTGCCAGCTATCTCAACAAAACTCAATCTCTGGTCTACTGCGTTATATGACACAATTTGTGCTCACCTATTGGGCAGTTCTGTTTTGCGCAAATAGTGTAGCTGTATTCCTCCCTCCTTCAATGTTCCCAGTGTTTCACTACACTTCACTTTAAATCACAGTCCAAGTATCAAAGTACAAAAGTGGGGAAGGAAAAGCAAAGTTTTTTCCTCAAAGCAGTTGATTTCTACAGTATTCAGACTACAGAATCCTAACATAATTCGTTTTTGCTTTGATAAGTAACACAGAGTGCGACCCCATCGATAAGTGGCTGATCTTAGGGTATTTTTGATTTCTGCAAATCATCTGACGTCAACCCCAAACAATTACGAACATGTGTAGACTTTATTTACTATTAAAAATATTGTGTTAATAAATTTGTTTTCGCGTTCTACGTAATTTCTCAAAAAGCAATGCTAGGGCCTTAATATGGTGACGGTACTGGAATCCCTTAATAGCGCTAAAATATAAAACCTTAATTTACAAATATTTTATGACTGCACAATAGGCAATATTGAAATATTGTAAATAATTGAAATATATTCATTTTATAATGAAGTTTTAGAAAGCAGTTGAAAGGTTTACATATTTTATTTATTTTTGTTTTATTTGTAATATATACAAATAATAGATGAAATGCTAGATTGATCAATGAGAAATGAATAAGTTACATCTAAGTCTAATGAAAACCTCTTTAATTACGACTACTTTTGATAATTATTTAATAATTACTTGTTTGCGGAATTTATTTTTGAACTGAATTTTTTTATCATGTGGTTATGGAATCTAAAGAATACTATATGAAATGCATTACGAGCTAATTCATAGGCGATTTCCATACACAGTTCGGAATTGTTACATGCCACCTTATTTTGAAATATCTTACTTAAATGGTATTATATGTTAGAATAATAAAAATATTGGACTGTTGTTAATATATATTCTCTTCTCACCACCACTTTTTTATGAACTCAATAAAGAACAATGAATTGAATTAAATTGATTTGGTTCAACAATGGAAAACTACTCGTGATAGATAAAAATATCAAAAGTTAAACTGCAGTGCCCTTTAAATGTAGGGTGCAAATAAACCAATAAAAAATTATGTTCTATACAAATACAGTCGACGTAGTAATCACAACGTCAAATAATCACACAAATTTACGCCGACAGACTCTATGTTCTACTTTCAGTGGACCTCGTCATCGAGAGTTTGAATGGGCGTTTGCGGTGTCCGTACTTGCCATCGTTTTGTGTAGAAAGTTGTCCATGCCTTGGGTGCAATGCTCTATAGAAAAATATTGAAAATAAAAACAAATAGCAGCCAGCAACAATAACAATAAATGCTTTCAAATGAATTTTGCATTCATCGCTAAAATCATTGGAATTGGCGTTTTTATCGTCTTGTTGCTGACCAGCTGACAGAGACCCTCCCTGCTCGCCCGTTCGTTGGCTATATATCTAAGCATTAAAATAGCTTGACTGATGGAGATGATGAAATGTTGCATCATTCAATTTGCTCTCTACAACAACTGATAAAAGAATATTAAGATACTCGTAGTACCAGAAAATCGTATCTCGCCGTTGTTTGTTTGGGTTTCTCGCCGTAGTTTCTCGATTGTGCTTTTCTCGTTTTTTCCGCTGATATGGCATCACATATGCTTCATTGAGGTTGCTTTAGTTAATTTTTTTTTTATTATTGTTTTTTTTTTTTTTTGTTTTTATTTGTTTTGATACAATCGTTTATAATATTATTTAAAGTCCTTTATACTAGCATTCAAAATTTTAGATAAACATCCGCTACATATACTACATTTCATGATTTAATGTTTTGTTTTATAGTTTTAATTAATATGAATGGACTCGTACACATTGTCTTTCTTTAATATGGGTTCGTTTATTGTATTATATTACTTTGCAAACATAATTATATCAATTTGTTCTTATAGTACCCTTAAAGTCGGTAAATCTTAAAAAAGTAAAGTATGACAGAGTCGGGTTTTACTTATGGACAAAATGCTTAAGCAATTATTCGGTTACACATTAAGAGAATTGAATCCAAATGTATTTACCACTAAGTTATGTTTTATCATAATACATTACTTTAACTTAAGTTTGATTACATTCAATTCCTTGAATTAAAGGTTGATACGAGTCCAAATATTGTCCAGAATGTTAATCGCAACAGCTCCTCCAACAATTTGACTAATCTGCAATATAAAATTAGCATAATTCAATAAGCTAATAAGAATAAGAACTTAATTTTCTGGACCTGTTGTAACGGTGATAAGCTCCTTTGTTTAACTTTTTTTTGCCTTACAGAAAAAAAAATTTATCTCCCTACAGTTGATGTCGATTTATCCGACATCAAATTTGTCATGGGGTAATAAACACCTTACAGGGGAATATTAAAAAGCGATGTTTAGAAATATTATAGAATTCTAAAAAGTTTAAATTTATCTTTATATTTAATACTCAAATGAATTTTTTGGATTTTTTGCAAAAAGTTTTAATTTAATGTTAGTATAATCTAATCATTCTTGTATAATATTTGAGTTTAAAATAAATTTATCTTTGGATATATTGGAGAAGTTTATTTACATTATTGACTTATTATATTATCAAATTATGTTTAGAATTACATATAAATATATATTAACATACCTTTCCTTCAGAGTTTAATCATATTTTTAAAATTTGCTGTTTTCAGGTATGGCCTGGCATTGCGAACAGCTCAATATAACTACAGACTCTACCAACGCGCGCTTTCAGTACACTATGGCAACGCTGCTCTGTTAACCCCATCAGTCAAGTCATACGTTGAGGAATGTGTCCAATTATGTCAGCCCGATAAAATACACATCTGTGATGGTAGTGCTAAAGAAAGTCAAATGCTGCAAACACACATGCTTCAACAGGGCACCATCATTCCTTTACCCAAATATGAAAATTGTTGGTTGGCACGCACCAATCCTGCGGATGTAGCGCGTGTTGAATCTAAAACTTTCATCTGCACTGCTAATAAAGAGGAAACAGTACCTGTTACTAATGAAGGTACACCTGGTGCGCTAGGTAATTGGATTTCAAAGAAAGATATGCAAAAAGCTATTCAAGAACGTTTCCCCTCCAGTATGGCTGGGCGCACGATGTATGTTATACCCTTTTCAATGGGGCCGATAGGGTCGCCATTATCAAAAATTGGTATCGAAGTAACAGATTCTCCTTACGTTGTAGAGTCCATGAAAATTATGACACGAGCAGGTACTAAGGTATTGGAACAACTACAAACAGGTGATGGGCAGTTTGTCAAGTGTTTACATTCTGTAGGTAAGCCAAAAAATGGTGTTATAGAGCAACCTTCATGGCCGTGTGATCCAGAACGTACAATCATATTGCATACACCCGATAATAATGAAATCGTCAGTTATGGTTCAGGTTATGGGGGAAATTCGCTTTTGGGCAAAAAATGTTTTGCATTACGAATTGGTAGCACAATTGCTAAACGTGAAGGCTGGCTGGCAGAGCATATGCTTATACTTGGCATTACAAATCCTAAAGGTGAAAAAATTTACATTGCTGCAGCTTTCCCATCGGCCTGTGGTAAAACAAACTTGGCTATGCTTACGCCTACACTGCCAGGATATAAAGTAGAGTGCGTTGGTGATGATATTGCTTGGATGAAATTTGATTCTAATGGAGACTTACGTGCCATAAATCCAGAAAACGGTTTCTTCGGTGTTGCACCGGGCACATCTATGGCAACGAATCCTAATGCTATGAAAACTATATTCCGTAATTCACTGTTTACAAATGTTGCACACACGTCTGACGAAGGAGTTTATTGGGAGGGTATGGAAGAAGAGAATATAAAAAGTGTGAATGTTACGGACTGGTTAGGTAAACCCTGGAATAAATCGAATGGTAAACCTGCTGCACATCCGAATTCTCGTTTCTGTACACCTGCAGCACAATGTCCAATTATCGATCCAGCCTGGGAAGATCCAGCTGGTGTACCAATTAGTGCCATATTGTTTGGTGGTCGCCGTCCTGCTGGAGTACCGCTTGTCTATGAAGCACGCAGTTGGGCACATGGTGTCTTTATCGGTGCAGCTATGCGCAGTGAAGCTACTGCTGCAGCTGAACATAAAGGAAAAGTAATAATGCATGATCCATTTGCTATGCGTCCATTCTTTGGATATAATTTCGGCAACTATTTGAGTCATTGGTTAAGCATGGAGAAGCGCGGTAGAGTGCCAAAGATTTTCCATGTTAATTGGTTCCGCAAAGGTGCTGATGGGAAATTCCTTTGGCCTGGATTTGGTGAAAACTCAAGAGTTTTAGATTGGATATTCAGAAGGGTAAAGGGTGAAGAATGTTACCAAGCTTCAGCTATTGGTAACTTACCAAGTCAGAATGCATTAATTACACAAGGGCTACAAGAAGCAATAAAATTAGATGAACTTTTTAATTTACCAAAAGATTTCTGGGAACAAGAGGTTATTGAAATCGAAAAATATTTCAAAACTCAAGTGGGTGATTTTCTACCAACTCAGGTAGCGCAGGAACTAGCAGGATTGAAAGATCGCGTCAGTAAAATGTGATGAATTTTTATTGTTGTTGATGAATTATTGTGAAAATTATACACTAAAAGACTTTTCTTAATAAATAATAATTTTTAAATTTTAAATCTATTATATATCGTTTACAATAAAATAATTGAGAGAAGTATATAGTAATTAAAATAGTACGATAATAATAAATAGTTTAAAACACTTATGATAAAACCGCATTTGTTTTTTTGATAAAATGTCTTGCAGTTTATTTAAGAAACAACGATTTCGGTTGTTTTTGAAAACTAAACCATCTTATCTCGACCCGGTATAATACCAGTTATTTTTTGTTTGATATCAGGTATCGATATCAGTTGGGTTAGTCGTACGACTCATACGAAGATAGAATTTTCCAGTGACATATTTATCTCTGTTTATATTTATTTAATTCAAATTTCGGCGACTGTTGTTAAGCATTGATAATGTTTTTGTAAACAAGTCACTAAGTCTTGCAGTAATCGCAGAAAGGAAACAAAACAAATAAAAAGGTTAATTGAATTTTTTGATAACCCAAAATCTGTGGGTTTATTGCTTTCGGTTGTTCGATTATAAATCGTATTAACTATGAATTCATATATATTTTTAGAAATGTCCGATCTTCCAAACTGACGTCAATATAATTTCGTCGATTTTGCATAATTTTTGAGTTGGAAATCTAGTATAACGGGTTAGCACCAACAAACAAAGACTTAACTTGACCAGATTAAAAATTAATTTAATAAAATTCTCATTAAATAATTTAGGTTTTAATATTTAAAAATAAAACAGCCAAACGAAAATAAAGCAAATCATTTACTTACTTGAAAATCCTATGCAATACTCACGGATTTCATTATGAAGACTATACACTCGCTGCAAATGTTCTATATTTCTAGTTAAAATAACAAAATCAATTTTGAACTTATTACAATGAATGACATTTACTAAATAAAAAAATAGTAGTAATTTGATCATGTTTATATATAAAAAATAATGAATATATAAAATAAATTCCCTGTTGTTGCTGTTGCAAATATATCTAAAGAATATATAAAAGGAGCGCTGAAATCGAAATAAATATACAATTGGATTCAGTGGATATAGGTTTTAACAGCCCATAAAGAGCGGAGTTGACACAGTAAAGATAGATGAATAGAACCAAAACTTTTAAATATAATTCGTTCAATGTATTAGTTGTGATTATAACTATATACTTATGACTATCTTGCTTTTATATAGTAAGTATTTGTAAAAGCAAACATTACTAAAACTCTTACTAACATTTAAGCAAGTTAAAAAACAATAAATGGTAATTTAGTTCTGATAGCATAATTCTTGTTTTTTAACAAATTTTTAGATATTAAAAATAAATTATACAGAAATACATTTGCATTTATCTTAAATTAGTTGAGCATTTCGTTCAGCCTGTTTTTAAGCATTTGGCTCTGCAACGTTCTTAAGAGGCCTAAACGGGATTGATAAACAATAATTTAACTTTCACTTTTCATGGCTTTGTTCAATGTTTTGTTTAAATTATTTTTCAAGAAGTTTTTTTTGAAATCATCTAATTATTGTACCCTCTTAATAATTTTACAACATGATGATTAGGATTTGTGGTGCCAAATTATCTTATGAATCAAACTAAACTAATTGCCAAACATCTATCTGATAAACAAAACAGAAAACTATAATATATCAAACGGCTACTGCAGTTCAAATTTTTCTTACCGATTTAATCTTACATATCTGACCAATAACTGTGATAGCTTCCTATTCGAAAAAATATTTCCAATTTGCAGAGTTTGTGTAATTTTTGTTTCAATTATAGCTAAGAATAAAATCAAATACAAATGTGAAAAGACGATTGAATGAAAATTTAGAAAAAAGAAGGAAGAGAAAAATAAGAAATATGCAAAATAATAATGTAAGAATTATTTAAATTTGTTATTAAATTATATGTATATCAACTTCCTCTTGAATTTAAAATAACAACAATTTTGTCTATGCTTCAAGTTACCATTGTGACACTGGAGAGGATATAAGAAAATCCATTCTTATCGATAAATATTACTGCTTGAACATTTTAAAGGGTTAGAGTAACATTTCATTTTTCTCCTTCGATATACTGGTTATCAACCAAAACAGTCAAAAATCTATAAATTAAGACTAGTAATAATAATTTCAATTCCAATTCTTGTAATCCCTTGTTATAGAACTTTCGTTTCTCCCAACTTACCTCAGTATTTCCCATTTAAAATATCGTGTAATATACAGATATTTCAACGAAACATAAACGTAGTTTTATGATATGTACTGACTTAAACGCTAAGTGACGATTTCTCAAGATGATTAAGAAAAAAGAGAGATCTCCAAAAGCTATATCAGACCAAACTACTGATCTGGTTAGGCATTGACGCACTTCAGTGAATAGAAACGAATTTTAAATTTTTCTTCATTTGAGAGCAGACGTACTATATTTTATTTTATTAATCATTAAAGCAAATGACTAGCTGCGAAAAGATAAATTTATGAGAACCAACTCAAGTGAAATGACTGCATTGTTTAAATAACCGAATTCAGTACTATTTGTGGAGCGTCTCTTGTCTGATAAATAAATCTTTTTTTTTTTTTCAATAAATTACAAATCAAAATATATTAATGTTAGACATTTATATCTACTTTATATTAGGACGTTATAGCAAATTCTTTTTCAGTTTTTGAGATTTGTGACCAAACTCAGATAAATACAGCTTTCATATATTTTGAACCATCGGAACTGGCTTTTCTTTATTATTTATGCAGATATGCAGGCTTATAATCTGAATACCTTTTTTTTAGTAAACTCTATACAACTCTGTTTAAAGGGTATTAGGTTCAATCGAAACTTCTTTTTAATACTGCCTGAAAAAGAACATCCATAAATTATTTGAAATAAATTTGACTATTTTAATTTGATTTATTATCACTATTTTAATAATAGTGATAATAATTTGATATATTCTTACCTATTATTTATTTAGATCCTAAAACTTTTTTGATCCTATGAATTTTCTCGTATTTTCTCGGTTTGATTAGTATTATACTAAATATTCTTGTTTCAAGTTAATAAAAAAAAAAACAAATATTCAAAACAGGTAAGTAATTTGTTGAAGACTTTTGATATAATATTTTAGATTTCACTTCGTAGATAATGGATATCTTCGCTAAAAATATTTTTTAAGATATTCAGACATCATTTTGTTTACCAAAAGTCACAAGATTCTTGGTACGAAAAACCTTCATTTCTCCTATAAATCGTGTGATAATATGGTCTATATTATAATTAACAACCAACGAAAGAACAACGCTTGCCATTATATAAATATATATTAGTTTATATATACATATGCGATAGTATATTTTTATTTATACTGGTTTTAATTGTGGACGGAGGACATTTTGTTATGATTTCTGCTTAGAAACGACGCATATTTTTGAAATTCTCATGAGAAATTTTCCGTGGGAGTCGGTCAGGCAATTCAGTCCAGTCTATTTTTGGCACAATGACAGCAATATTTTGATGAGAAAAGAAATGCATGTGATTTTCCGCTTTTCCTAGTATTCTATGATGAAGTAAATTAAATGAGAAAAACCAAAAAAATTTAAAATACACATGCCGGCAATTACCGCAAAAGACCTAAATATAAAAAACGATTCTATACTAGAGCAAAAGACGCGTGGCTGCCCCGTTGATTATGTATGTTTTTTAATTATTTGTTGTTCTTATTTTTGACGATAAGGCCTTTGTGTATTCTGATAATTATTATTATTAAAAATGCTTAGTTTGGTTGTTTTGGTTCTCTATGCTTCACAGATATTTTTGCCAAACAAGATCTTTGCTTCGATTGGCAATTATTGTGCCGATTTGACTTTCAAATCACCTGATAAGAAGGAATTTTGGAACTGCTTATCTACTAAGAAAGACCAAACAAAATTTACAACTTTAAATGTCATTTATTCGTGCAATAAATACAAAGTTTCTTCTGATATTCACATATTGCGTATGTATGAGTGTTGCGACATCTTTACGAACTTGTTTAATTGTATGCGTTTGCTTTGCAACGAAGGCAAAGCAAAGTCTATTTAATACTTGAAACGGTTATAACCGGTTTTGCGTATGGCTCTTGAGTGTTTTCTTTGAAACAATCTGCACCTGCTGTTTTTTTTCGAAATAAATGGTCTATTTTGTTATGGGTCTGTCTACGACGTACTTTTCACCAATAAATGATATAAAGACCTTTCTGTTTGTGAGATACATTTTCACTGACAGTTAAAAAATTAATTTAAAGGGTGTTTATAAAAGTATCTTCCGAACTATTTGCTAATTGTAAACAAAATATTGAAGAAAGTGAAATTTACACACTGTAAGATTTAACCATTTTTATTATATGTATTTATATTTTTAGATTAGCTGTGTGAAACACGCATTTTTTGGCAATTTAAGAAAAAATTATTTATTTGCAACAAACTTTGAATAAATTTTATAACAACGAAAGAATATGTAACAAATTATCTTAGTTCTTATCTCCAACTGCCTTGAGTTCAAGTAAAAATTCTCTGTTGCTATACGAGTTTTGTGAACGAACAAATAAAAATAACGAAGCAAAAAACAAAACAAACTGCTATCAAACAATAATAATAACAACGCCATAAATACTACGTAGACGAGCCTCCAACTTTTCGGCCAATAAAAACACACGAAGTGTGCCTTTCTTCGTTTATTCTAAACTCTTGCAATTCGTTAGTAAAAACGACGCCAGACGCCAGACGATCGTCACTTCAAACGAAAATCTGGTTGCTTCCACGAAAACACAAACAACACACACAGGCGTGCAGCTGCACTGGTGTTGGTCGATTTCGCATATAAAAGGCCGAAGTGGCATAGAATAAGGCATCAGTACATTGTGGCTTGAGTAAATGGAAAGATCAAGTGAGCAACTCAGTGGTCTAAAAACTAATTTAATATTTGACAAAAAACTTTGGAAAAACATAGGAGCTTAAAAAGAAACAAGCAAGAAAAATACCTACCAAAAAAAATTTAAATTCCAAATTATTGTGATACAAAAATTGTGATCAAACCAAATAAAATAATAAAAAGAATTTCAAATTAAAATTTATTCCAAAAGATCTAAAATCTTCTTTTGTGCTTTAATTATCCCACCTTAAACAAATACAAATAAAAACTTCAAAATGCCTGAACTCATCGAAACACCTAAACAAATGTAAGTATAGTGACATTATGTTAATTTAAAATGGCCTTAACTTAACTTTTTTAAAGAAAACTTCAGCAATTTTTAATTGTAATTAAATAATCATTAATCACGCTTGTAGTTTTCCAATATTTGAATCTCTCCTTTTAGATCTCTTCGAAATACTCGATACTTACATTTTGTTTGTTTTTTTCTTTGTAGTTCTGCCTCCTGTCTTCATCAACAAGGCAAGTACAAACAAACCAACTTTGGTTTGTACAGCCATATTCGGGGTACTAACGTATCATACGGTGATGTAAATAGCTTGACTCCGGCTGTTAAGGCCTTTGTCGAAGAATCTGTGGCCCTCTGCCAACCCGATCAAGTGCATATTTGCGATGGATCTGAAACTGAAAATAAACTACTATTGAAGCTTATGCTTGAAGTTGGTACTATAATTCCATTGCCAAAATACGAGAATTGTTGGTTGGCACGCACCAATCCAGCTGATGTGGCACGCGTTGAATCACGTACATTCATCTGCACTGAAACTAAGGAAGAGACCATACCAACACCTAAAGAAGGTGTTAAGGGTACTTTGGGCAATTGGATATCACCAGCTGATATGGACAAAGCTATAAATGAACGTTTTCCTGGTTGCATGAAGGGGCGTACTATGTATGTAGTACCATTCAGCATGGGTCCAGTTGGCTCACCACTTTCAAAAATCGGTATTGAGGTTACAGATTCTGCTTACGTAGTCGCTTCGATGCGAATTATGACTAGAATGGGTGCAGCTGTATTAGCGGAACTACAAAAACAAGGAGATTTCGTCAGAGCTATGCATTCGGTTGGTACACCAGCAAATGGTGTTGTTGAACGCACTGCTTGGCCATGTGATCCTGAACGCACTATAATATTACACAAACCCGATGCTAACTTAATTGTTTCCTATGGCTCAGGCTATGGTGGCAACTCACTGTTAGGAAAGAAATGTTTTGCTTTACGTATTGGTAGCACTATCGCAAAACGTGAAGGCTGGTTAGCTGAACACATGTTGATCTTGGGTGTCACAAATCCAAAAGGCGTTAAAACGTATCTTACAGCTGCTTTTCCTTCAGCGTGTGGCAAGACTAACTTGGCTATGCTAAATCCTTCATTACCCGGTTTTAAAGTTGAATGTGTTGGTGATGATATTGCTTGGATGAAGTTCGATGCTAATGGTGACTTACGTGCTATTAATCCAGAAAATGGTTTCTTTGGTGTTGCTCCAGGCACATCTGTGGAAACCAATCCAATTGCCATGAAAACTGTATTTAAGAACACTATTTTCACAAATGTTGCATATACATCAGACGGTGGAGTCTATTGGGAAGGTATGGAAAGCAGCTTAGCCGATGGAGTTGAAATCACTGATTGGTTGGGCAATCCTTGGAATAAATCAAGTGGAAAACCTGCTGCACATCCGAATTCTCGTTTTTGCACACCTGCAGCACAATGCCCAATTATCGATCCAGCCTGGGAAGATCCAGCTGGTGTACCAATTAGTGCCATATTGTTTGGTGGTCGTCGTCCCGCTGGAGTACCACTCATCTATGAGGCACGAAACTGGGCACATGGCGTCTTTATGGGTGCAGCTATGCGCAGCGAATCTACTGCCGCAGCAGAATACAAAGGAAAAATAATAATGCATGATCCATTTGCTATGCGTCCATTCTTTGGCTATAATTTTGGTCATTATGTGCAGCATTGGTTGAGCATGGAAAGCCACGGTAAAAACTTGCCAAAAATCTTCCACGTCAATTGGTTCCGCAAAGGTGCTGATGGCAAATTTATGTGGCCTGGATATGGTGAAAACTCACGAGTCATCGACTGGATACTACGACGTGTTAACAATGAAGATTGCTTCTTAGATACCGCTGTTGGTCGTATACCAGCACAAAATGAACTACACTTGGAAGGCATGAAAGACCAAGTTGACTTGACTGAAATATTCTCACTGCCCAAAGACTTTTGGCTTAAAGAAACAGAAGATATAAAGAACTATTTTGATTCTCAGATTGGTAAGGATTTGCCAAAGGAAATATATTTAGAACTGAAAATGTTACAAGAGAGAATTGAGAACGAATTGTAAGAATTTGATGAAACATAAGAACTAACTTCAGATATTATAAACACTACCTGTCTGCAAATATTTTTTTTGTAATTTTATGTAATCCCCAATTTTATGCAGGAAATTATTTATTATTTACTCTTAGCCTAAGTACAAAACTGTTAAATAGTTTAAGTAATAGATTAATGAAGATAGAAATATTTTATATAAATTAATTTTAAGTTAAATTTAAGCTTTTAGAATAGAGACAAAAAACGTATACAATATATAAAAAACGAAAACCAATAAATAAAAAAAAATAAAATAAAAACGTGCCATAAAATTTTAAACAAAAACAAAATTATTTTATTTACTAACGCTCGTATTATATAGATTACAAATTTCAATTTAAGAATAATAACATTGTTAGATATGAAAATTAAAGTAAAATTTTGTAAAGGTTTGTATTTCAATATCTTAAATGAATCCGGCTACTACGCTTATCACTAACCCATTGTAACTTGTGTCCAATTAAAAAGAAAAGTTAATCTCAAATTAATGCAAATATGTACATTAAATATTGAATAATTAGTTCACTACTGAGTCAATTTCATCCATAAGATACCCATAAATTTATATAAATTCGTCTGAGTAATTTAAAACTGTATTCAGTATTTCGATAACATTTAAAATCATGGTCTTTAGAATCACAATCAAATCTAAAATTGAAATCAGTGTTTCTATTATTTGTATTTGGTTTTTTTAACTGTTGTGCATTTAAAGAATACTAAGGTTTGGAAAGATCTATGTTTTTTTTAGGCGACTTTAATCAAATTTTGTTAGGTTTACTTTTGATAACTGTTGTAATATCATCATCATCATCCGTGACTATACAGTCCATGTAGGACTTTAGCTTTATTTATATACGTAAATCTATATAAATTCGTCTGAGTAATTTAAAACTGTATTCAATATTTCGTTAACATTTAAAATCATGGTCTTTACTTTTGATAACTGTTGTAATATCATCATCATCTGTGACTATACAGTCCATGTAGGACTTTAGCCTGTTTAACAACATCCTTCCATAGTTCTCTGTTTTTGCTTTTGTTTTCCAATTTCTTATGCTCATTTCTTCTAAATCCTGCTGCACACTCTCTTAATATTTCAATACAAAATTACATTTTACTATTTTAAATCAAAACTCATTAGTTTTTCCTTTAACTCCAATTTCTAACTTTATGATTTTGTTAGCTTTTTTTATGAGATATATAATATAGTTTTTAATTCAAATATTCCTACTAACACCACTTAAGAGTTTAGAATTTTTATTCATTTTTTATGAAATAAAGAAAAAATGTTTGTGTTTGAAATATGTATGAGAACTCTCTATGAACGAAAGTACTTTTGGATTTTTTGTTTCAAAATAAAATTTTACCCACAGTGCAACCGCAAAGCTCAGCATTTCACCACTATGAATGGTAGAAATGGAGAAATTAAAGGTATATTCAAGTTTATCAATGAGCAATTATACTAACACTGGTCATTGTTGATATAAGAAATAAAAATGTTTCCAATAAAATTTCAAAGAATATTATTGTATATATTCTCAGGATATCAATTTCAAATAAAAACAAAAATTAAAAAACAGTGTTTAAAGTGAAACGGTGATAAGTAGTCGAAAAAGTTTCCCAGTTACCAGTCTTTCTCTTAGCGTGTAGAACACATTAAGAGAAAACATCTTAATGGAAGTGCTTTTTAAGCTCCTGAACAGCACTGGAAATATGGAGTTACCCAATAACTTGAAAGCTTAAGCACAACAGCATGCAGACCCCATGCGTGCATAGGAGCCCAAATTGTGCGAGCACAAATAGTTAAGAAATCAGTAAATATTTGCAGTCTGTCTTTAGCAACGGGACCGAGCACGTAACAAGCACTTCCGGTAACGCAGCACCAAATATTTCAAACTAAGTGAATAAGACTAGTGTGTGCCCCCGAAGCGGTAAATTGTCAACTGTTCAAAGTGGTATTAGTGATTACAGTCGGCATTGGAGTGATTTTCAGTAAGTGGCAGAACTTTATGACGAGGATAAAAAACAGGAAACCAGGAAGAAGAGCACACAGGAAGTAAATTATGTGCTACAAAAATTCAAGTCGTTTACTTTGCCGCTTCTGTTAAAAATATTAAAGCAAAGCAAATGTTCATTGGGGACAACGGTAATTAGAGCAATTACACACGCTCTGACTAGGTTGGTAATTCTAGGGGGTGCAATTAAAAGGATTAGTAACTCATTATTTGTTGCTTGCAACACTTGTTGCACGCTATTCTCCTTTATGGCCGATGGCCCGAATTAGCTCCGAAGTGGTGTTAAATTAAGCAGACATAAAAGCAGTTAAACGCGACACTCATTAAAATTCTTAGACAACTATTTCATGACACGATAAGGGGAGCGTTTGGTTGGGGCGTTTAAGTTTCATATTTGCATTCATTTACATAAACGTTGACATTGTTAAGTATGTGTCTCAATTACAGCTACAACAACAATGCGAGTAGAACAACAACTAAACGACTACATAAACTACTCTGTGTGCCACTCATAAAATCAATACTGAACTTTGGCTCGTTGCGTTGTTTTTTGCGATTCCCATTTATCTTATAAGCACAATTATGTAGACCACAGATACATAATCAAATCCGAAACAGTAATTTATGTCGCACAAGTTGGCAGAGGATTAAATCTGAGAAGAAGTAAATAAATGATTCGCTTGTTGCTTTCACCACTTTGTTAAATGAATTTCTATCCGCATCTTCACTCATGGAGCAGAGTTTATAGAGTATATATTCTTAGTTATTTGCAATATATACTCTAACATATTAGTCCTTGAATCATGAAAACGAACTGCTACAAAATTGTAACCGAAGTGCCTTGATTGCAATTCGATTAAATTAAGAGCCCGACGTAGTTGCACCGTTCGCATTGATGTCTTTCGGTGCATTGTCAATAGATTTTTTGAAGACTACATATTCGTATTTTACGGTGCATAAAACTACATAAGTAGATGTTGTTATATTTTCTGAAGGATATGTAACCAGTAAAGGACAAAAAGAACAAAGGGTAGTGTAATCAATTAAACGGTTTTACATTATTTTATATATCGAGCAATTAGCAATTGCATACTAAGATAATTGTCATTTGAAATGCATTATTTCAGAGTCTAAAATAGTTTATCCAGTTAACATGTTTACTGTTTAAAAATTACATTAAATAAATTAAATTAATAAATCTTTAATAAGTTTTTGTATATGAAAAATATATTTTAGTTATTATTTGTATTTACATTATACAAATATAAATACATATTATACAAATTATATAGTACAGTGACCTAATACTTTCTCAATTCACACGATGTTGTTTGGTTCTTTTCGTTTATGTGTAACTTATATTATGATATCATATTACAGTGTTGGAATAGTTAATATATAATAAATTTATATTTAGTAATGTCAATTCTTTCTAATCTGTTAACTCCAATTTATTTCTCAGTTCATCATTCAATGCATTCTTGCTTCAAGGGTTCAGTACTGAAATATAATTCAAAATAAATAATCCATTAGCATGTGATACATTTATTAAGTGAAATATAAGCGATAATGAATTTTCCAATATAACAAGTAAATATATGATATATAGAAATAATCATATATACTCCTTATTGACATCAATTCAATCCGACAATCCATATTAATTCTTTTATGTCTTCTTTACCTTTTTTTCTGTCATTGGCTTTGTATAAAAGTTTATACCATCCTTCAAAAATTCATCTGAGGTCCTTATTATCCAATCTTATCTAAAAATTTGTTTTTGTCTGAATAGCTACGCATTGGAAACTTATTATATGCAAGAATTTAGATCACACCAACTACTTAAATTAGGTATAACCTTTTATGAATCCATTTCATTTCCATGTAAAAAATTTTTTAACTAGGGTATATAAGGTATAAGAAGTAATCTTTTTTAATATAGATTAGAAACATTTCCATAAGAAGTCAAACTCCTCTTATTCTTGTCTGTGGATCAGTTGTGCGCCACTGTACTGTAGCAACAGTTCGCAGCAGAAGTAATAAAATTAAATTACAAAAGATACCTTATTTTGTTACGCTAAGTGCAACCGGACGCAGGTAAGGTTATTTATTATAGCTCAGCATTACTTGGCAATCACACACTGACTCCTTATTAGTCAACGCACACAATCACTTACAAAGTACATACAATACCAGAACCGACACAGTTACAGTGACATAAACTCAAATTTATGTACTTGAGCCGTTAGTTTGTCAGGATATCACGTTAAAAGCAAGCCAGCATTAGTATGACGATTTAATGGTTTAACGGCGAATACTCATAGATATGCTGGGCTATGTAGCGGCATATTCGTTTACATGTGAGCATATAAGGTACACAGATGTACGTTTATTAGCGTACCGAAACTAAATTACAATTGCGCTTATGTGCTGTTGATATGAATTATCTATGAAACATCTGCATGCCTTACTATTTTATAGAAACACTAAATAACGAATTATCAGCCAAATATGCTCACATGGATACGCACCTACACTGCTGCGAATAAATCAACAAATTCACATTCTCATGTACTCGTATCGGATGAGCTCTCAAAATACTTTGTAGACGCTTCCTTGCGTAAATAATTTAGGAGCGAAGCTAAACATTATTGCTTGCGGCCGACTTTTTGCTTTGCTTCCGTTTTTATTATATTTCATTTTATTTTTCACATTCTCATTTTATTTTATTTTGATAGAAGCTTATTAAAAATACATAAAACCATAAATAATGTTTGCAAAAGGTGGCACGAATAGTCCTGGTAAGAGTCTGAATGGGCAATATTAATTCCGTATTGTTTACAATGTTCTAGTTTTTTCTTCACTTCTTTCTATTTTTATTACACTTCTTAATATTATTTTTATTTTTTGCGTTTATTTTTATAATATTAATTTTGTTTGTGTTATCGTAGTCTTCTGGTTACCCTCGTCAGTTGATAACTTGTTGAAATTTGCCTTCTCTAATATAGCATTTTACCAAATTCTAATTTTTCCTTTTCTTGGGTTTATTCTTTTAATGTCAGTGAATTTAATGAAAGCATGAACTTAAACAATCAACAAGCAAGAGAAGCAAAAGGTTATCGCAATGTCCGGTATACGAAATTCTCCCACTAGTCCACGATTTCCACAACCTAAAATGGATCATCAGCATCACAATTGGGATGATACAACCCCAACAACAATGGCCGTTCCCAGTCTCTCACATAATCCAACAACAGTAGCAACAGCTTCCATGATAAAGTTACCCACCCGCACAACCTCATCAACGTCACCATACAAATGCCCCAAATCACCAAGGTACTTTTATCTTCTGTTTTGATGACTTGTTGAGCTCAATTACAGTTTATAGTTGCTCTTGTTAGTTAATGTCCGCATGTTTATGATACATATTCTGTGTAATTTTCGTTATATTCTGTAGAAGCTTTCACATACCAGCAGCTAATGTTTACGACTCTTCATCTCCGTTACCGCCACGTAGTCCATCAATACGCAGCACGTACAGTAGTCATAGCAATTACTCTGACCCATCGATTGTGAGCCGAAACCGCTATGATAATTCACCGCGAAGTCCTAAAATCACAACTACGTATGCGAATGATAGCTGCGACGATGCTTCATCCACACCTTCCTACTACCAGACACCTACAGGCTTCTCATCAAATGAAAATTCACTTGATTCTCCTGCTTGCAGTTTTCTAAGTGGACATACGCCATCACCGCCTCGTCGCAGTCCAAAATCTCCGCGTAAATTTGTATTTGATGCGATCAGTCCGATTATGGATCAATCTTGCAAAAAACTTGAATATGAGTACTATGATCCAATATCACCAGATGACGAGCTAGCATGTGCAAGTAACTATTATGAGACTCCCGTCTCACCCAGGCGACAAAACTCAAAAAAATTAATACGATCTGATGCACACGATAAGCTTTCACGAGGTTATGCTGCAATTGAAATGGCAGGAAGTCTTAAACGAAATGAATGGGAATTTCCATTTGGTTCACACATTGACGAACATTGTTTGAGTAGTGGCAGTTTCTACATGAAACGAGACTCTTGCGTTACTGAAAGCACGCAATTGTCGGTGGAGTCCAATGATACAACTAATAGCACCGTTGCAACAACTACAACATCATTTAGCTATTCAGATCATTCGAAGCCAATGACGTCCGAGAAAAGCATATCTGGAAGTATGAGTCCAGTAGATCATTGCACGAGCATTCAAAAGCGGCGACATGCTATAAATATAACATCAAATCCTGGTTACCAGGTAAGTCACATATAGTTACCGATATGAATATCTTTTTATCCAGATTAAGGATTAATGATTATGTCTGTTCGTATATTAATTCTTTTTGACAATAAATCCAAAAATCTATATGGATGTGTAATGTTCAGTAAGGCCTCAAACGCTACTATTCGCAAGCTAGAAATTGCATAAACCAGGCTCTGCGAGGACTTTTGTGGTTTATAAAGTTTTTGATATTTCCTTAAATGTAAAGAATATAAATATTGTGAATAGAATAGGACAAGCAAAACTATTACCTGATCATCTCATTTTTCGTTTCGTTTGAAAGATGACAAGAGTAGACTTTGAAAGTAGTGGGGATTTTTTAAGATTCTTTAAGATATAAATGAATATATTCCTAAACATTTAATTTTTTCTTTTTTTGATAGGTTTTACACAGCTCCCACTCTACCCTGGATCGTACTTGTTCTGACAGTGTTGTTTCATTACGATATCGCAAGTCAACTAGTGACTTAACAAAAGACACCGACAATGAATCTGGTAAACACAAACTTGCTAACGATAACAATGTCAGCAGTAATAACATGAACTACAAGCCACGACGACGTGGAAGTTCTAAAGGTGGTTTAGCTTATTTGGCAAGCCGCCGTAGTTCACGAGAATCAATGAAAAGTGCTTGTTCCAATACATCAATATTCTCGAATGACGATATTGGACCCTTAGCTTTTCAAGCATCAAATCGTGGACGACAGAGGCGTACTTCAAACTTTTTAGAGTTACCTGGTAAGTGTACAGACTATAAGAAAAGTATTATACTAGAGTGACTCGTATATTCGCATTATTGGCAGTTCCAGACCATGTGCGGCCACGTGTCTGCTCATTACCAGATCGCCCATACAACCCACGTGTGAGTGATGATCTTTACAGATTGCGGCATTTCTCCATAAGCAAAGGAAATGTTGTCAATTGTGGTGATTCTATAATATCACGTCGTTCACGAAGTAATACAAGTGTGAATTCCACAAACAGTAGGTTAGTATTTACTTTTTGAAGTAGTAAAAATGAGAATGGAAACTCACATTTGCTGAATTTGTGTACCAAACACATTTAAATGTCTGTATTCACATGTTGCTTCTTCTAGAGCGAGTGAGCGGTCACCGTTTGAAGGTTCATGTTGTGGTGGGGGGTATGCAAATGTTGATTCATTACCAGCCTCACCTGATGATTCGGACAATCTTGATCCGCCACCTCCGCCAAGGTAACGAATACATTTGCCTAAATATCAGCAATTTTTATACAAAATTAACATTACGCTTGAATTTCATTAATTTATTGACGATACAGGTATCGTGTAGTAATGTTGGGTGACGCTGGCGTAGGTAAAACCGCACTAGTCAATCAATTCATGACATCCGAATACATGCACACATACGATGCCAGCTTAGGTAAGTAAAGCGTTTACTCTCATAATAAACAACAAAAAAATGCACATTTTTGCGCACAAATCACAGGGAGCTTAAGAGCGTTTATCTAAAATCCTGATATCTCATTCAGTACATTTGGCAGTTTGTATTTTTTAGTTAATAATTCTAATTTGAGTTTTAGATGACGAATTTGGTGAAAAGACGGTAAGCGTGTTACTGGATGACGAGGAATCCGAATTGGTATTCATTGATCATCCCAGCGTTGAAATGAGCGTAAGTCTTCTGTCAAATAATCTTTTCGACACCTATATATACATTCATCGTCTAAAATCACTGTGTTTAGGTGGAAAATTCTCTGTCAACATATGAGCCGCATGGCTGTGTTGTTGTCTTCTCGGTGGTGGACAAGTCTTCGTTTCGTGTTGCTGAGGAAATAATCAATTATTTGTGGCAAGAGAACTACATTAAAGATAAAGCGGTCATTTTAGTGGGCAATAAAGCCGATTTGGCGCGCGCAAGGGTTATCACGTCACAAGGTAATTAGACTTTTTTCTTTTTTTAAGTAAATGTATTTGTTAAGTAATTTGCGTGGAGCGGGAGTTTTGTTAGGGTGTCACTATTGGGGTATTGGGGTAATGACTACAGATCAGTATGCAAGATAAACAAATTTATTTCCATAACTTTTTGTTATTGTATTGTAAATTTTATTTATTTGATTTAATGGTGAACTTTTTCTATTGTACTTTTCTTGTGGATTTTTAGATGGCAAATCATTGGCGGCCTCACGCGATGCGAAGTTTATTGAAACCTCTAGCGGCATACAGCATAATGTGGACGAACTACTCGTTGGTATATTGAAGCAGGTATGAAGTAAAACTCACAAAGTTTTAACTAGTTCTAACAAATCTTTAAGTTTATAAAAGTTAAAGATAGGGGTTAAAGTCAAAAATTTATTCTAGAGGAAACTTAATTAATAACATGATTTCGTTATAGTTCAATGTACTGTGAAAATTAATACAATAGAGATTTGTACAACGAGAATCAAATAAATAAAGTTAAAATCATAATTAAAACCACAACAATACTTTAAAGCTCAATTTGGGGTATATGTTGATCACATTAAAATGAAGTGCACAAGATGCGTTCCATCCACTTCATTCTGAACTGCTGAAATGGCCTCGAGCTATTAGTACCGCTAATGTCTGCTTACCTTACTGATCCAGTGGTGATGTTAGCAACATCTTTATTTGTGTAATACTGAACTATATAATATTCGAATCATCTATCTATTATTTTAATTTAACTTAATATTTATATAAACTAAGAATAAACAAAGCATATCTACTTTTAGTACTAATGTTTAATTGCTGATTGAGCTCAAAGTATATGTCTATTTTTTGGTTTGTTTTTAAAAGCACTTTATTTCTGGTTTTTATAAGACAAATAATGACTATTTTCGATTATTAAAATTATATTACTACTATGATATATAATTTTATATAAGTATATTTTTGAATGTTGCTGAAATCACCTTAACAGTTATAAAACGCCATTCAAACCTGATGAAGACATAACGGTAGTCTAAACTTAGCTTTCTCTTTATTTCATTGCAGATGCGCTTGAAAGAGTCTCGTGAGAAGAAAGCTATCTCGTCCAAAATGAGAACTTCTCGTACGCATATATCCCTACATCTGGCTAAAGAAATTCTGCAAAAAATATGTCTAAGTGATATTTCTAAATCGAAAAGCTGTGAAAATTTGCACGTTTTGTAAATTTAGTATACAAGGAGGCAACCGCATGAAAACAATCATAAAAAAGAAAAAAGTCAAGCAAGTATAAAATTTTCCAAATCTTGGCTAATGCACATTTTTCATAAATAACTACAGAAAATGAAAAGGTTTTATATCGACTATCATATCGCGGTTAAATAACATATTAAAAAAGTTTTAAATTATTGAAATTGAAAATTTGTAACATTATACTATTATTATTGTAATAGCAACAAATATTAATTGTGCGATTATTAGAATAAGTAATATAAAAATCATTCTTCTGAATACATTCTTATTCTTAAGTCACTCTTATTGGTTATCTTATTGATAAAAAATTATTTTAATTTATGAATATTTTTACAATCTTTTTTAATTTAATAAAGTAGGCTTCTTATACTGTTTCTTACAAATAGAAGCTAAGATAAGGTAAGGGAATGGACATCCTATAAAACACTAAGTTTTAAGAAAATGTATTTTATAAATGTTAAGCTCTATGACAGATTATATAAATTTAGGTATAACTAATTAAAGTCATTAAAAAACTTGAATAATATCACTTCAAATCTGTGTACTGTCAATTTTCCATGCATACAAAGAATCTTTTGTGCAAGTTTAATGAAATTAAATATTCAAAATAAATTAAAATTAAAATTAATTTATTTTTATTAAACATAAATTAAGGACGTATCTTAGGAAATTTTAATGGTAATTGAGTTCAGTGACATGGAATCCCCCATTACTCATCTGAATATAATTAAACTAATCCATTCTAGGTTCTTTATGTATTGTATATGTTTGTACAAGCAAAATGTAGTAACTCTTCCATTTTAATCTTATCGTAATGACTGTTTAATGTTGACTGTATTTTAAATGTATAACAATATTGAATATTATTAAAGTTTAAAAAACAAACTAAAAAAAATTTGATATCAAGCGCATAAGTTGCCGGTCGTGAAAATTGGTTAACATTTCAATTGCCACTTTTCAGGATATCTGCTTCTCAACTTATGCGCTCAAATTGTTACGCTTATATTAATATTTATATAGAAGAAAATATATAAAATAAATATATAGAACAAAAAATACTATTTGAATCTTATATGAAATCTATTTTCTTACTCTTATATATACGATATCAATTAATTGTTACATTTACTTGAATGCAATTCTAGTTCAAGTCCTGTATTTTCATAAAATGGATTACATACGAAACTCTACAAGTATAAACAAAAATTTTTGAACATAACGAATTTTCACAAAGCTGAACTTAAGATTATATTAAAGTTTTTAAAAATAATTTTAGAAGTAGTCGTATATGTATAATATTATCATAACACCATAAGTATCTTTATATGTGTGAATAAACTCATATATATATAACTCATGTAATTCTGGGATAGTTTATCAATGTATTCCCGATATGCAATGTATCCGAAAATGTGTTTAGTATGTAAGACTGGTATTAAGGACACTTAATATTAAATATGATTGGCTACAGGTTTAGTTAATTTATAATAGAAGACTATGTGCAGAAGAAAAATGTTCTAAATATTTCGATTATTATTACAAAAATAGATTCATCAGTGAGTTCAAATTTTTTTTCTATAAAACAACATTTAATGTTAATAACAACTTTTTTAAAGCCGTTAACCACATCCCCCTATATATAATATTTAATAATTTTAATGTTCTGATGTTTAAGAACTTGTGTATCGAATGATCTTTTTAAAGCATTAACATTCGTCTTTGAAGCAACTTTCCTTTATGAAAATCTCCGAGTAATAGAATATAATATTAAGGCACATATTTTATTATACTTAAAGTATTAAAGTATTCAAACCCAACAGGTTTATCATTCTAGTTGCAAAACTACGTTTGAATGACTTAAAAAGAATTATTGCAAATATAATCATATGGATGGTTAGAACATAATAGTTTTTAGGACTATTTCCTTAAATCTGTTTGTAATAATTGCCATTATAATAACATATTGGTTTGAAGATTTCTGTAAGCTGGTTTTTGAAACTATCTTTTCATATGTGTTTTTAATGTCTCACAGTATGATGATTTTTACATCTATTTTCTTCTTTATAATTATTGACGAAAAGTAACTGCACAAAATTTAATACTAAATGTCCATCAGTGGATTGCGGTTTCAATTGAAAATTAGAATTGGTTTAAGGGTAGAACTTTAATTTATTAAAACTAATCGAATAGAATTATTAGAATATGTGTTATTATAATTGAAATTTAGGCGAAATCCACGGAACTAAAAGCTACTTTGTATAATAGAGTTATAAGAAAAAATGGAAAAAACATTCTCCTGTAAATTTAGTGAATTATAAGTCTTGAAAGCCTTGAGATTTATATTTTCATAATTTATGATTTTCACTTTAACAGGTGAAAAGTTCTTTGCAATAGTTAACTTGTTTTATTTGTAACATATCAACGTATTAGTGGACAATCACATTATCCAATCATAATTCAAAAGTTGTGTTTATATATAAGCAAATATACAGGACGTTTTCTATATGTAGGAAAGTAAAACAGAGTAAATGTTTTATATTACTCCCCACTGCACGCAATATTCAACTAAATGCCCTGTAAAAGCACTTAACAGCAAACAAATAGAAAGTTCATAAAATGTTATTAAACTCAAGTCAAACTTGTTACAAAACTTTTGTGCGACACGCTGCGTATGAGTGATTGCGGCTTCAGGTTCAAGACACTGAACAGAACTTTGCCAGGCAAAGTCTCACTATTTGGAATTCTAATCAAAAACTATAAGAAACTAAAGCATGCAATAAACTAAATCAAAGTAAATTTATGCCCACCGAATTTATAATGTAAAAAAACTTGCTTATATATTAGCAATTAATCTTCAAATTAAGCAAATCAAAAATATACAAATGTGTACAAAATAAATATATAGAATACTATATGTAATATATTCATAATTAAAAGAAACTTATAATTAAATGAAAATGTAAAATTATTAAATGTTATAATAACTTGGAGATTTTAAAATATACATAAATAAATGGTAGTACATGAAAAGAAAATTGTTTGTTATTATCTTGAATATGGAAAAACAGATTTCTTTTGCTGACAGCTCATATATCTTTTCTAGTTTTTTTTATATATTTTACAAAAACTTTTGAACGTTTAAACTTTTGTCACTTATTCAAACAATAGTAATTAAATTTTTTAAATTGAATTTTTATTTGTACAAACAAAAATTCTGGTGTTTTTTGAAATTCTGGCATTAATATCGAATCAGTAGTATTAATAAATTTTATGCCTTTTTGAAGAATGCATAGACCTAAAGGTAAGTTGAATACATATATTTTAAGTTTTATATGTTGTCTTACTATATCATTTGCAACTTCAATTAAAAAACAAAATGGTTTATTCAATAAAGTGAAGTATCGTAACGCTGAGATCCTTAACAGCTGACATTCTGAATTTTATTCAAAGAGCGAAATGACTTCTTTTCAGTTAGAGCCTTAGAACCTTAGATCCTCAAAAGATATTACATACTAAAAAAAATAAATTAGTGGCTGTCTGAAATTTCCATCACCATTTATTCAAATGTCTTTGTCTTAATATTATATAGAACAAAAAAATGTATGTATTTATTAGTTCGTTTCAGTTACTACCATACATTCGACGTTAAACAAGTAACGAAATTAATGCTATGAATGTAACCCAAAGCAACCTTTCACTACAACCGTCATTTACGAGGAAGTAATGACCTTAGAATAGCTTTGGGAATATCATAGTAAATCCATGTCCTTCGTTGCGTTATTTATTACCTAAAATATTCAAAGAAATTGTCTTATTGCCTTACCTAACTCACAACATCACTCCTCAATATATCCAACATTTCACCAAACTGCAAACGTGTTCCGATAGAGGATAAAATATTTAAGTAGATTAATATGATTAAAATTTCATTTTTGAAATTTTAATTTCTTTTTGAAGTTCCAACAAAATTGTTACCGCCTGGAGTGACACCTTTGCAACTATGTCAAAGTTGTAGCCAAAAATAAAAGCAATTCAAGAAGATAACCAAAAAATTTTTCAAAATGAATTCCATTTCTAATCCACACACAAGTGTACAAAAGGAAAACGAAATATTAAGTACATCAAAAATTTAAAGCATAGTATCAGGCGCTACATTTAATGTTTTTATTTTTCCTTCAATGTACGAGAAGTAAAGTTAAGAATTTTGCAAATAAATTTGAATGTCTAAAATGAACCTTAAATAACGATTTATGGCTTTTAATGGTATTTACCAGCGAAATTTGTTACAAAATGAAAGATATGAAAATTTCTTATCAAAATCATTTATACAAACAAACATTTGAACACAGCACCGCACATGTAAAAAGACATTTCAACAAATTTGAATACATACATAACTTGTAAAAATATTGTTTATAAGTAAATCCTTAGAGCCGCTCAGATGCCATGAATATTTATAAGATACAGAAACAAAGGGAAAGGTAAACGCAAGGTACTGCCAAAGCCAAAAATAACAAAAACAAATAATAATAACAATGTAACGGCTGTGACGATGATGATCAAAACAATAAAAAAATGGCAGCAGCAACAGAGTATCTGGTCTTGGTAAGGGAATCAGTCAAAAGCTAAAATAATGCGTTGCTAGTAAATGATTGAAGGAGGAAGTGAGAAGGGTCACACAGGCAAAAGTACAAAGGAAACGGAAACATTGCCATTGTTTACTTTGTGAGAAACAAACAAAAAATTAGTGGAATTTTCTTATAAAATGAGTATAGAAACACAAAAGCGGGTTCGCAACTAAATGATATAAAAGCAGACACCCACTCTGAGAAACAGAAACAAAGGCAAAAATGTATGTCAAGAAGACAAAATAATAATCTTTTAAGTGAAAAGCCACCACTTTTACCCTAAACGTCAAAATTCACACACCAAGCAACAAACAACAAGCACCAAACTTCAAACATCCAACCATAACCAAGACTCCAATGCAACAAATGTCAAATACTTAACGCCATAAAGAAAACTGAGTTTGTTTTCGGCATAAATTTCACTTCAAAATTGGTCTAGAGCAGGAGCTACCTGTTTGCTTATGCCAATCGACTGTGATGGGGGGGTCTATACCCCGACGCGTGTGTATCTTAAGCACCTGTACGAATGGGAGTGCGTGTGTTGGTGCCACTTGTTGAACATCCTTAATGGTTTATGGGTTGCGGTGCTATTGCATGAAAATTTATCGCACTCAAAAGTGAAGTCGTTCGTTTTATTCAATTTTATTTCATTTATTTTTCATTTCGTTTTATTTCTAAACAAATATTACCTAAAATAATAAACAAAAAATAATTTGAAATAGGGAAGCAAGTGACTGGCTTCATAAGAATATCATGGCAACAACGATGACAACAACTACAACAACAAGGAAATTGAAAGGAAAACGTGCATGCAGCAACGCCGTTGAACAAATAAAATAACACCTTTTAGCACGAGCACACACACAATTTGCGGTACAAATATAGGGCCACGCATGCTGAAACGCACCAGGAGAAACGTACACAGACATATTGTTGATATAACCGATGAGCTACATTTTAATAATCAAAATCAAAAATCAAAACATCATTCCAGAAACAATTTGCTAGCTCTTAACTATAAAAGCATCTAACAAATTTTTTAATATTACACTATGTGACATAGAATTCTGAACTCTATTAAATAATTACCTAATAGAACATTTCAAGAACGTTACATCAACTTTTGATCTTTAATAAGAATGCATATAAGACAAGATAAGACAGTTGCAATCAAAAGATACGAATATTGGAATTGTCTTACATTAATGTTACTTATAAATTATAATGAATTAGCTACATATGAATATTAATCGGACTCTAATCTCAAAAACTGAAAATATTGTCCCCTGAAAGTTACGATAACGCAAGCTCATTACCAAGCACAAAATTAAACAGTATTCAGATTACGATGGTTCGATAAAAGTAAGTCTTAGTTGCAGTTCGTCTGTTATATCGATTGCTACATGCAATATTCAGTCATTCAGATAAAGTAAATTAACGAATTTATGCAAAGAAATTGAATTTAAGAAGCAATATACGTGATTCTTGGTTGCAACATTGGTTCTGCATGTGAGGAGTAATGAACTCAGAACACCCAAATTTTGTGCGTAGAAATGTTAAACGACCATTAAACATTATTTTGTTATTGTTTTTGTCTTTGTTGTTATTGTTGTTATTGTTGTTGTACCTGATATTGTTTTATACATGTTACACTTGTATAGTTTGACACCTCCTGCCGCACCAATAACGACCTTTGGTTGTGACTGTTACTTTAACGCTTCTGGCATGAAATAAACCTAAATTGTGGAATTTTTTACTGTTAAGCTTGACGGTAAACAGCGAATGTGCTTCCACTTCCACTTCCTTGCAATGGCAAAGACGGACACGTTACGCCGCAAATCGGGATTCTTCACCCACTGAGTTCGGTTTGGCAAACGTGGAAAATGAAAGTATCACGTCTATGCGTCGAAAAGTAAGCAATCAAAATTTAAGCGAATTTTATGTCAAATTGAAATAAATGCATTTTAGGTCTTTTTACCGGCTTGATAAGTGAAATATTTTTTAATTTTATTAAATCGGAATTTACGAGTAAAAAAAGACAAATTAGTCTAAAATAATAATGCCAACTTAATAAGCTATTAAGGTGATTATGATCAGAATTGAAATCGATCCAAGTTTCATGTCTTATAAATTGTAAGAATTTTTTAATCGTATACCGTAAGAAATATCAAAGAAAAGTACAAAAACGTCGAATAATCTATAAATGTTATTAATTTAAGTCTGCTTTAGAATATGAAGTAAAGCTTAGAAGCTTTAATAAAATGGGAATATTTAGAGTGATATTTCGACTTAAGGAACATTAACTGTTGCTATATTCAAGTATACTCATATGTCTTTTACTAATTAATGCAAAAGTTAATTTTTTGCTAATTTACCAATAATTTCTTTAACGAGTGAATCATGCTTTTCTAAGAAATCAAATTCAACCACATCATAATTCATTTTGAATTTTTTTCCAACAGTTATGCAAATACCTGTACTGTATATAACAAGAGATATAAAATAAAACAAAAATTATGTACAATAATACACAATTATGTAATAATAATATTGTAGAAGGCATAAAGAAATAAACTGATATGGTTTTCATTAATGAAAACTCCATCTAAATAATATTCGTTTTCACTCTACTAAGATGACTTCTTAACAATAATCCTACAAATACTGCAAAATGAAAATAAGTCACTTGCAGACTCCTTAGAAAACATTTGACCACAAGTTACCTAATGTTAGTTCCATTTACCAGTACTGCAATCAAACGACAGTACTGTCGTGTCTTTAAGTATTTACCATAAATGCGTGCATGACTCAAAACCCAGTGTTTCAATGCAACTCTTTACCTACTATGATTTCAACAAAATTTTCCTAAATAAGCTTAAAGACATGGCTTCTTTCACTCTTTTATAAATTGAAGGATTATGTAGACCGCTGAGATAATTCCAATTCGAAGAAAACATTTTTTCCTCCATGTTCACGGATACTTAATTCATAAAAAATATCTTCATTATTTTCGAATTTCTATAAAATTGTTTTCTTAATTGTAATATTCTTAAATAGCAATAATATTCTTAATCTATGTAAGTCACCCAAAATTTGCATATATAAGAAATTAGAATTTATTAATTTTAATTTCAATGCCAATACTATACAAATATCCTTAAAGCCACCTACAGGCAGAAAAATATTCACAAATCATCCTAAAGTATTCTTAAGTTTTCTAATATACTTGGAATAGCAAAATCACATTATATGGTCAGGCTTGTTCTGCGGTCTGTTCAGCTCTGTTCAGCTTGTTTCTGGCGTTGAAGCGGTAAGGGTTGCTTTTACGTTGTTTTTACAATGTTGAAAGCTCTATAGTTGGAAAAGCAACGAGAACACTTTAACTGAGTGTACTGGAAAGTAAAGCTTGTAATTAAGAGAAAACAACAAAACTACCGTTAAATTCGATGTTAACACATAAAATTTTATATTTTCATTTATTTTTTTAATTACTTTACAAAAACAACAATAACCCAATATGCGAAGAGATTACTAAATTACATATATATATAAATATCGGCATATACATCTTAGTACTTGAAGTAGAAAAAGTAAGCCTTCGTTATTGAGCTGAATGGGGCATTATGCGACCTTTTAATATCGTGCGAATAGTTTCTTCCTTCTGTGTCAGTTTCTTTTCTAATTTGTCGATTTCTTCAATATGCCTGGATTGTAACCCACGTACTTGAGATTCTTTATGTTTGACTATAGTTTCTAGTCTTTTAACAGCTTCCCATGTATTTTGCACATCCGCTTGCCCTTGTTCTAGTTTCTGTGCCCATTGCAAAGCAATACGTAAACGTGCTTTTAGCCGATCGCGAGAACGATTCACTTGCTCAATACTGCGCTTCAAGGAGGAGTTTCGGGTCTTTAGTTCTTCCACTTCAACGTCTTGTTTGATTTTTTCACTCGTTTGAATTTTGTGTTCTTGTTGTAATTGTGTTAATTTAGTTTGACTGTCAAGATTACGCTCATTAAGTTCACGTAAATTTCGTTCCCAGCTTTCTTTTTCTTTGCCATGTTCATCCTTAAGATGAGCCAAAAGGTCTTTACACTCTTGTAGTGAGGTAGCAATAGCATCTTCTTGTGGGCGAGTATTAGCACTTTTCAGCGTGATGAGCTCGGATTTACAACGACCATAAGCAGCATGCAAATGTTCCAAATCTAAAGCCATCGTTTGTACCTTTTTTTCATAGCATTCCATAACTTCCATTAGCTTCTCTTTAGCAAGATCTGTTTTGCGTGTTTGTAATTCAGCTTTGGAACGGCACACATTAACTTGTGTTTGCAATCTAAGACGTTCCTCGCTCCAAGTGTGGACATCACGTTTCAAATTATCGTTTTCCTCTAGTAGCTGGTTATTCTGCTCCAATGATCGCTTTAGTTCGCCAGCGAATTGATCAAATTCGTAACGATATTGTTGTATTAGTTCATCCTTATCATGTATCATTTCATCATAGGACTTAAGAAGTGGTGCTAATGTGTGCGTACAAACAGATTCAGACTGCCAAGGAGATATATGTGAGTTGGAAGACTCTTGTTTCAGTTCCTGCTGTTGTTGTTGTGGCAAAACTTCTGTTGAAGTTTTTATTTGGCACAAAGACGGATTAGTCTTATCTTTGCATTTTAGTTGCTCCATGTCATCTTGATATTTTTCAATTTGCATGTTCAAACGGTAAACAAGCGTTTTCATCATACATAGATCAGTTTCAAAACTTTTATTTTCTGCTTCACTCTTTACTAATTCTTGTGATAATTTTCGACATTTTTCACAACTATCGACTTGGTCCTGTAATGACTGCAATCGTTTGTCCGTCTGAGATAACTCCTGACGCAATTTCTGGTTGTCATTTGCGAACTGCTCGTTATAATTGTGAAGGGTGGAAACGCGCTCTAAAAGTTGTTCCATTTGTTTATCCTTCACTAGAAGCTAAAAAATAATTTCAATTAAATACTCTCTTAACTAAAATATAATAAATACTATATCGCTAAAAAAAGTTTGATAAGAACAAAAGTATTTACTGCTAAACAAATGCTTATAATTTTGAACCAGAAAACTAATGAATTAGTTCTTACGAATTAGAATTTATTATTATTTTGTAGCAATTACCAAACTGAAAACATAATTAAAGGGTGTAAAAAGGTGCAAATAATATTCTGTCCAACTCTGTTTAATCCTTACCAATTCGTTGAAGTGGTTTTTCAATTTGTTTCTATCTGCATCAGTTGCTGTCAGTGGACTGACAGTGCATTCCACACTACGCGACCTACGGTTGAAATTACCAGTCATTGTCATCAAGGGTCTCTTCGATTGATGTTTCCGATATACTATGGCCTTTTTTTCTGCCAAAATATTTTGTTGTTGTGTATCCGATTGATCCAAATCAGTGATTTGCACATTCTTTTGACGCACTTTTGCATTACTTGTCATATTTTCACATTTAAAATTTGTAGGAATACCTCACAATGCTAAGTTTAATTCAAACGAATTTGCAGAACCAATCTATATAACTCTACTGACAGTGAAATAAAAATATATGTTTACTATAATTGTTTACGAAAAAATAAATAAATACTGTAGTAACCAATGACAACCGAAGTTGTTAGCCCTGTTTAGAATATTGCTCTACACCCGCTCAGGGTACGTTTAGTGCAGCAGTTTTTGTGCGCTATCGATTTTCGACTGTATTACATAGTTTAGTCCAAAAATACCGCCTTCAACATCAGTATTGAGTTTCTGGTTTGAAACAACAGAACTTAAATATACGTATATTTATTTTAATTCCGTTGCTCTCAGAGACTGGAATAAAGTGTTTCTTCCTCTACGGCCGTCTCAGTCAGGTTTACGCAAGTACAAGACTAGCAAGATCATGAGCAAACAAATTTATTTATTCCCAAAATCTTTTATGACTTCTCTGCCTGATTAGGTTCTTTATTTTTTATTTAATACAAATTAAATACCAGAAGCAATTGATTAACACATATAAATATACGTATATAGGTATACATATATACTTCATTTACGCACATTAATTTTGTAAAGAATTTTATTTTTATTTTCAAAAAAATAAATTTTTATATACATTACAAAAAATATAACAAAATTTAACATAAAAACTTTAATATATAGGATAAGTTAGCGTTTAAACTTAAGAGGTTGTCCAGTTTATGCTCCTTATAAGTTTTTAAACTTACTAAATCGTTTATTCTTAGCTTAAATAATCCAAATAGTTTCAGTGCATATTCATATACTACCTTTCTTGCTCGTTTTAATTAACTATATTATGACTCGAATTGCTTGAATGTTGTTTGGTGTTTATTGTACCTTTATTCTAATCGACAAGTAAAGTAAAATTCAAATTTAAATTTATAAAACCACTCAACTTTTGTAGCACTTCTGGATACACTCTTTGCATTAATCGTTGATAATTTTCATTACCTAATTGCTCCCGCAACCCATTGAGTTGATGTTCGATATATTGTGAGAGCACAATCTTATGAACTGGATCTTTAAGAGCTAACTGTCGCCAACGCCCAAAGTGATACGTTTCTGAATCTAAAAGATCCGTCCGAAAGTAGTCACTTCTGTCAATATCACGTTCGTCTAGATATACCAATGAGTCGGTATACTTTTGAGGTTGTTCGGTTTCTATACTATCGTCATCAGTACTCATCACTTCGATAATAGTATCAGTAATATTCTGGAGCATGCTTGGAAATCTTTCAAGTAATATTGGATTGTTTGTAAAAATCGATCCGAACGCCAGTGAAAACAATTTACTTTTTTCGACCTCAGTTATCAGAGGCATTTTAGCAATCCACACATCGAATATTTTTTCCAGCGCGTCAGGTTCTTTTATTTCTTGTAATACAGCGGAAAATACATTTTGACTAATTAACAGCACGCGTGCTACTATTGTTAAATACATCCCCATGAGCATTGGGAAATCTTCATTTATATATACCTGTTTAAATATGTATGGCAGAGCTGGTCTTATAAGAACCAAACCATACTGAGCGTCACATTTCAGACAGATTTCAAATACCTTCAACATTAATATGATGCCTTCGGCACGCAAATCGTCGAACATACGCATACAAAAAGATATAAATTGGTTACCGTGCTGTTCCAAAAAAGAAATTGCATCTAGTAGTATATATGCCTGTATTAATATGAGGACAATACGTAAGTTTTCCGAAGACATTTCAATAATTGGTAACAAATTTTTCGTTAAGAGCATTAGTTCTGGAGACATGTTATTCATATTTTCTACTACTGAAACCCATAATTGCAATCCTTCCTCCATAAGGTATACATGCGATGGTCCCTAAAAGTAAATATAATTAATACATAAGCCATATAATCTACTGAAAAATTAATTCTTTTAACCTGCAAGTCAGTACTTATTTGTATCACGCCATACAAAAAAGGCTTCAATTGTTCAGGAATGGAGTGCATTGCTTTTACCAATTGCTGGAGAGTAGAAAGTATAGCACATCGCAACATATTAAAGTCATCACTTTCTTTCCATAACTTTGGTAGATAACCAATGAGACTGTCTGCTTGCAATTCTATTTCATCACCCATTTTCTCAATAATGGTTGACATAACATTGAGTACATTCATTTTTGTTTCACATTCGCTTGCTTCACGAAGTAAAACTATAAGAGCATTAAAAGTTGGCTGCAAATATGGTAAGAAAGCATCTGTCATAAATTCGAAATCACCAATCAAGTTCGAAACTGCACTGGACGCAGCCAAACGTATTGACATGTCTTCATTCGGTCGCAATAAATGCAAGCATGCCTCATATGCAAGCGGTCGCAAATCTCTAGAAAATTTAACACTTGTCCACTCTGCTAGAAGCCATATTATACGTCGACGTAATATTCGAAAATTATCGTTCTCAATTTGTAATTCATTCAAAAGTTGCCCACTAAACCATGTATCGAAATCAACGTCACCGAAAAAATGGAACGAAGCCTGTCCAGCGGCATTGTAAATGGCATCTTTTAATAAAATATCTTCTAGTTTAGATTGCTCCGTCAATTGTATTTGCTGTGCTTTGCGTATATATTTACAAACTTCTTCAGTCATTTGTGCTTGATAATGGTTAAAGCAGGTTAGATAGAGATTATCGATTGCTGGTCGTAAGGCATATTTCCAACTTTCGCCACCGTCATTTTGTGCAAATCCTTCCGGATCTTCAGCCCACATTTCCAATTCCTCGCGGGTTAAAATAAAATAATGAGTTATTATTTTTTCGCACATATAGCATAGCCGTTCATTTGTAAAAAAATCACATAATTTGAGTGGTGGTTTCTCATCAAGTTTTTCGTAGCAATCACGTTTGTACTCATTACAGCTCATTATACCTTTCATTAAATTTATACATTGTATGGCAAAATTTTGAAAATTAATGACGTTATTTGTGAATATCAACTGTGTACCCGTATGGAATATATGATCAAAAGTAAATTCCAATGCAACGACTAAAAATCGCGCAAATGAACCAGCATGATATTCTTGGAATTCAGTGAGGGTTTTGACTTGTTTCAAAATAAACTTTTCCATCAGAATAAGCAATTGATTGTCAGCTCCTACAATTTTAAGGTCATAACGACATTGTAAAGACTGTCTTAAGCAATCAAATAACTGGGAAATAAATCGTAAGCAAAGATCCGTTCTTTGTGTTTTAGAATAACCATAAACACTAAGTTTACGCAATATTCGTAATGCTAATGTTGCACGTTGTAGTGTTGATAAAGCCGCTTCAGGAGTTGTTTTCAAATTGTGAAAATAAAGTGCGGAAAGACCATCCCATAATTCCCGTATAAAATCGAATATGTTTACAGTTAATTCTTGAAATATTCGTTTTTCTGCCATCATTCGCCGAGAAGCAAGAGCTTTTATCACATGATGAAACAGTAATAATTGCCTTTGTTGTTCCTCAGCATTAGAACCACTCAATTGTAAATTTTTTAATAACTCTGGAATTAGTTCTGGCCATTCCTTCGGACAATCAAAGCGTGCTATACGGCCTGTTAGCACTGCTAGTTGTAATGCTATTTGAGGAGTTTCCTCTGATGATGCATAGGTCAAGAGTAGCTCCCGTATTTGTTGTCTTTCATCTGTATTTATCTCATTTTTCACATTACGCCGCCAGTATTTATTTATACCATTTTTTAAATAAACAGCAGCCATCCAACGAGCTTTAGCATCAACTTGAGCATACTGCGGATGCAAGCAAATTCTAGCTATTGTTAAAAAGAAGCCAGATTGCACCTCCCATTCAGCTAATTGTACCTCAGCATTACGAACAACTTCATGGCTTTGATCTGTAGCAGCACGCAATGCCTGACAAACCATTAACTCAGGCGTTGAAAGTTCTGCTTGCATTTTCCTAGTATTTTACATAAAACATCCATTAAATTTATTTAAACTAACCAATTGCTTCCTCACCTTAATATTCATGTAAACTGCAAGTATTTTTATCAAATTAGTATTTATTATAAAATGATTCAATTTTTTCAGGAAGAATATATTTCTTTCTCTTCAATTCTTTAAAAGCAATATATGCATTAATGCTATTGTCATTTGTCGGCACAAAGCCAGCTGTGAATAATTCAAAATGTTATGGGTACGTTCAATCCGCGAAAAATTGTCTACAGTGCACAAGTTTTACAAATAGTTCATGATCAAAATTCCTGCTCCTGCCTACTACTTACTACAAGCTACTCTTAGTAACTTTGAGTAATACTGTGTATACACAAGTGCATTCCACCAGCAAATTTTCGAGTATATGTGAGTATCTGCAGAAAGTAACATCCCTGTCGAAATTTGAAAATGCTACACAGACTTTACTCGCACATTTTATTTCAAATAAAATTTGTGATTTTGTGTGAATCAACTGTTTTGGTTTGAATTTAAATTTTTGTACTGCTTATTTGCGCGATAATATTGTTTTCACCAGACTTTACACAAAGCTGTTCCATGAAAATCTGTGTTAATTTGGCACTTGTTTTGTGTTACGCTCTCAATTTGTACTTTACTTGTGTTTTACTTGAGTTTTACTTCGAGTAGCTCATAGAACAGACCTATTATAGTATATAATTTTAATTAAAACTACTATAACAGTAACAAAGAGCATTAACGTTAAAATTAAAATTAAGCATTGGTGAAGCTTTATACCGAGGGTAAATTATTTAAATTTAAGTTGGTTTTTTAGTAATGTTTCTGAAAAATTGAAGACGTAAGTGAATAATTTATTTTAACATATAAATTTAATCATGTGCTTCAATAAAGAGGGGTTTTGAAAATACCTCGAGTTAAGAAAGAGTAAAAGTGCTCAAGTGCACTGGCTCAAATAGCTTCAACATAATTAATAAATAATTTTATTCCATTTCAGGACCAATTTTTATTAGCATTAATATGGCAACTGAGTTAAAATATTAAATGGTCTAAATGAAGAAAATTCATTTTCTTTGAGTCACTGACTCAAACGCTTATTCAAATTTACACAATTTTGAATTGTTTTATTTTATATGTTTATTGAGTACCCTCAATGTTTTCACAAAACACTACTGAAACATGATAAGTGCTCTTACAACAGTTATATACATATGTATGTGTTTATATATATTTATCTGTGGTATATGCGTTCGTTTCATACCATCAGAGCGAATCTCATCTCCAAAAATATAATTCACATCATCTTCTGATAATGGTTCACAATAGACGAATTTTTAGTCTATTGTGAGTCTATCATTAACCACATAAAGAGCTTTAGTGCTTTTTCACTTTAGAATATGGTAAACAGAATTCGACCAAAATTATGTAAAAAATGACGAATACAACATTGGAACTGATCGAATTCTGACTATTTAACACATAAAACCAAATGTAAACATAAACAAACAATCAAATAATCAAAACAAATAAGAAATAAAAATTTTTTAAAATTTTGTTTTTATATAATAAATACAATATTAATATTAATTTTTGTAGGCGATACTACAACACTAATACGGCGTTTACATTGGGCGAAAATGGCTCATTTTGGTCAAAAATCGAAAATGAGTATCGAATGGCTCATTCTTGCATATAAAATTTCAAGCACAAAAATGAGCAATTTTCTCACATTCTGTATGAATGACGTTCGAATGCATTCCACATACGTTCCAAATGTAAAGGAATCTATTGAACATACCCTAAATGAAAGCTCTTCATGGCATTTTGACAGTTTGAAAAAGCTGTTTTTAACATATTTACAAAAAAAGTAAACAAATGTTTGGTGGTTGCATTTTCTTGAAAACGATGCACTGCCTTTTAGAACTTTTACTTCCCAAAAAGTAATTAATCGAAGTTAAAAATATGTTTTAAGTTTCTAATGTAAGGTTTGAAGGCATATTTAACCTTCATGCAACATTTTTTTGGCCTGTGCCAACATGCAACTTGAAAAATCAGCTGTTGAAATGAGAACAAATGAAATAGAACGAATGTAAACACTTTCAAATGGCTCATTCAAAATGAGCCATTTTCGGCTAATGTAAACGCCATATAAGATTACGAAACATGGGAAATAATAGAATTTTTCTGTGACTCACAAGTACGGCTAAAAACAGCAAGTTGCTAGCCTATACTGCCCGAAATGTACGCAAAACAATAACACTATTTTTTCTACCGCGGTCAGTATAGGTTTACTGGTCAAGCACATCGGTAAGTAAAAAAATAATTCACTATTGTGAACTATTGGAAATTCCAACGAATATTGCAATCGTATGTCAAAAATTATATGTAAATAAAAATTCAAACAGAATTCAAAACTATCATTAATTTGAAAATTGGAATAATAGAAAAATTTCAGTGTTTTATTTTTAAGTTTTCAATATTTTTTCCATTCCTCTTAATATTGTATTCGCTTTAATTTTCAATCTAAGCTAGCATTCATTTTTTGTAACGGTGGCGAGCAATCGAAATCCCTTTTAAAATTTCAACCAGTTTATTACATATGTGTATAATAAATTGAACATCGATTTCACTTAAAATTTGATGTCTCATCTCACTAATATGAGCAATTCAACATTGCATTTTACAACACTACTTTTTAAGCAGCTGATGTACGAAAAACCGACTGATAACACGTCAATAACAACAAAAATTTATCTGAGGAAAAATTAATCATACATTAATAAACAAATAATTAAAGAAATAGTACAAGATATCAGTTGAAATCAGGAAATTATGCTAAAAGCGGTGATATTAGTCGGTGGTCCACAAAAAGGTGAGTATATTATTTATAAATAATACTTAGAAAGATGTTATGGTATCTGAAATATTGCGTTGTTGAATATATGCATACCATTTTGTGATACTTATCATATGGCAGTAATGAGTAATGAAGAAATTGTGAAAAATTTTAAGCTGAACAATTGAAACACATGTACAAAGAAATGCTTATTTAATTCTTTTTTGTGTGTTTGTATTTATTAAAGGCACTCGATTTCGTCCGCTATCGTTAGATACTCCAAAGCCATTATTCCCAGTAGCTGGACGTCCATTAATACAACATCATATTGAAGCATGTTTGCAATTATCAGATCTGAAGGAAATAATTGTCATTGGCTATTATCCGCAATCGCAAATGCAACATTTCGTTAGCGATATGCAAAATCTTTACAGTATAAATATTAGGTATATAATATCTACCATAGTCACAGTTACTAGCTGTTGTCTCTTCTAGGTATTTGCAAGAGTTTACTGCTTTAGGTACGGCAGGAGGGATGTATCATTTTCGTGATCAAATACGAGCTGGAAATCCATGTGCTTTTTTTGTATTAAACGGTGATGTCTGTGCTGATTTTCCTTTGCAAGAACTTTATGAATTTCACACCAAACGACCCTCTTCAGCACTTGTTACCATAATGAGTACTGAAGCTACGCGTCAACAAGCTGTACATTATGGTTGTTTAGTCATAAATCGTGATACTGGAGCTGTATCACATTATGTAGAGAAACCTAGCTCATATGTTTCCACTTTCATAAATTGTGGTGTCTACGTTTGCTCTATGGACATATTTGCAACACTTGCCAATGTTTTTTATTCAAAAGAACAAGAATATTTGTGCACAAGTATTTCAAATGGTGGTAGTAATGGAAATGGAAAAGATCAAGGACACATTCAGTGGGAACAAGAAGTGTTGACACCGCTAGCTGGAACGGATAAACTATATGCGTTGCCAGTGTCGAGCTGGTGGTCACAGCTTAAAACAGCTGGATCAGCTATTTATGCAAATAGGCATTACTTAGGTAAGATTTAAGAGTTTTTAATAAATTGTTACTTAAACATTTAACATAAAAAAATTGTTCGAATACACTGCTTAGATTTGTATAAAAAAACTCATCCTGAACGTCTTGCTAACGCTGGTTTCAAGCACAGTGAAGATAATGGGAATTTAATATGTACAATTTTTCCGGATGTTTACATTCATCCCAGTGCTATAGTACACCACACTGCAGTGGTAAGTAAGAAATTATATTAGTTAACATTTGTTTCAATTATGCATTATTTCCAACATTTGCATTCGATTAATATCAAGTAATATACAAGTTTAAATTGAATTCTGTTATTGTATCGCGCCAATATTATCACTTCAACCATTTCAAGGGAAATCAGCGGGGCTCAATTTAGTTTTACTACTTATTTACATTATTTTTTAAATAGCTTGGGCCTAATGTTTCTGTTGGTGCTGGTGTTACTATAGGACCAGGAGTGAGAATACGTGAATCAATTATATTGGAAAATGCAGTTATTAAAGATCACACATTGGTATTACATACGATTGGTTAGTTTTTTTATTTGTTAAACAAATTAAATTAATTGCAAATATTTATTGTTTAATTTAAGTTGGCCGTGGATCCACAATTGGACAATGGGCACGTGTGGAAGGCACTCCTGGTGATCCAGATCCAAATAAACCATTTGCCAAAATGGAAAACCCACCCTTATTTAACAATGAAGGCAGATTAAATCCTTCAATCACAATATTAGGTATTTTAAATGAAATATTAAATTTAAAAATAAAATTATATATCTGAATCAAAACAAAAACGACACAACTAAAATTTTGCACTTTTAAGAGAGCGCAAAGAATTGTTTGAAACTTGGCTTAGTAGTACCGATAGTAATTTTAGATGCATTATTTTTTGGTCGCAAATATAATGAAAAATGAAAATTCTAAATTTGAAATTGTGTCACTTTTGTGGTACGGGTTCTATATATCTATAATTACCACTCATTTTTATTGCAGGATGCTTTGTTAATGTTCCTTCGGAAAAAGTGTTACTCAACAGTATTGTTTTGCCACATAAAGAATTGAATCGGAATTTTAAAAATGAAATAATTTTATAAATAATGAAGTTTCTAATTAACTTACCCACAAAAAGTGACTGTTTTATTGCCATTATCAATTTATTAGCACAATTTTTTTTTATAAATTATAATAGTATGTAGACACCAATTAAAGTAAAGCACTTTTTATTCTATCAAAACTGAATTAAGATAACATGAGTTTATATTCCAACTAATATTAATTATTCGAATTAATTCAAATTAAAAACTATACTTTATGTACATATCACATATATCACAATTTTTTTTGAATAAAGGTTCTAATACTTAAATCTAATGTTCGTTGTGAAGTTTGTTTCTTCAGGTCTGGTGTGGGCAGCAGTATAACACCGACTTGGCCTACCAAGTCAAAGTTAATTTAATGGGGTTCAATGAGAATTTATGGTTAATGGAATTTTAACTGAAGTGTTTTATATTGGGGGCTTGTGAACTTTGCTACTTTGGTGCGACAGAACCAAATATTAATTAGTTCTGATTTGTGAACCGATTGAAATATATCAGGAATAGACAAACTAAGATCAAGTTATAACTTGTTTCGCATGTGGTTATACTTTAACCTAAGTTGGGCCAGTTCATCTCTTGCTGCTCTAGATATTCGTCCTTCTTGGGAAACAATTAGTGGAAATTTGTTAAGAACTCGGTTACTATTACCCGCATCAAAAACAATATTGAATAATTGTTGCGTAATATAACAATCATGATATGTAATATAGGTCCACTCTAAGGATTTGGGTAGGGACTATATACATTATAGATCCCCTTTATTCGGCACTTAATTTTAATTAATTCGCATTATGGTGTCGAAAATATCAGTGGCATATCAGTGGATATATTTAGTTCTCAGAGGAACTTATTGTACTGTCTGTCAGGCGGAAGTGATCGCTATTAGCGAAGCTATAGCTTCTTTGAAAGTGGATAATATACTTGACTGCTACACACCTCTAAACGAAATGTCGACGCATCTGAATATTTTTCTAATCTGGGTCCCCAGTCGGCAATCGCAGAACAGATAAGCTAGTCAGAAAGAATGTTTCAGGATCTTACTCAGAACACCTAAGTAAGCTGCACATATCGTTAACATCATGCATTGTTACTAAGTTATTTCTGTCCTGAAGATTTTAATAAAAGATGGGAGGACTCAACGATATGCAGGCATCTGTATACAATCTGGCTATTTTCCACTAAAAGGAAATCCAATATTCTCATTGAGATGCCCCATAGAGATATTAATCTTATGGTAGGTTTACTTACAGGTCACTGCAAACTAGGAAACCATGCTAGAAGATTGAATCTCCCTTTCAATCACACCTGTCGCAGCTGTGGTGAAGACGATGAGAGTGCCTCTCATCTACTATGTTTTTGCCCAGCTCATGCACGGCGGCGACTCAATACTTTCGAAGCCCCCATTCTTGAGGATCTTGATTAATTATAAGACTTCCCACTAAACAGAATTCTGAGCTTCGCTAAAGGTTCTAGGTGGTTTTAAACCTTGAGTTTTCCTCTATATACGGTAATACAATGGGCCAACAGGCCTAGGTGGATCCCCTAGGGATCCCCTGTCTTATTATATTTCAATCATTGCTTTGTTAAGCTATAAGTTGGAACTACTATTTATTGATTCTGGCGTAGATTTCACAGATTTCAGCTATAAATTGAATAATAAATTTTAACCAATTTAATTAATACCGATTAGTACAAAATCGGTACAGGTTAGTACAGCAATAAATATAAACATATGTAGAAATACAAATAGTATTTTCGAAGTATTCAATTATTGACTTGTTACAGTAAATTTAAATAAGCATTGATTGAAAATTTAGCTTGAGCACATAAATATAGTATACTTTTTTTATTGTGCTGAAGTGAGGATTGTGATCAAAAAATGAAAACAGAAAACACTTTTTTTTGCAGCGTGTAAAAAACTGCAATTCAAGTGTACCTCACTTGTATGGGAGAATATAAGACCGTTGTACGTCCCTTAAAGCGTAATCAAAGTAACATCTCATAATAAAAAGACGACTCATAGTAATTTGCTCTCCTTAAAAGTGATATACCGGTGGCGAAGGACTTTTCAGACAGTTGTTGAAAAAAGGTTCACGATTTGATGACCAATTTTCAGTAACATGATGTTACAGATGCTAAATATATGTTAATACGATAATCTATTTACTAATACACTAGTACCAAAATTATTTGATAACGTGTTTGGTGCTTTACAAACAATTTCAATTCAACTTTATACTTTTAAGGCCTTTTCAATTATCTTATTAAAAAATGTTCTTCTTATATTAGTAGTAGTAATAAAATCAGAAAATTTTTACAGATCCATACAGAATTTATAAAATATAGGAAATTGTTGTTCATAATAACAATTGTTATTACACACTTAAGATCTATTAAATTCTTCCAATTAATACGCAGAGCATAATTTAATTCAAGTGTTTAAACATATAGTATTCATATATCAAGAACCTTTATTAGAATAACTAACAAATCTAGTTTGAATATCAGTGATTTCGATGCCTTGAAATTGGTAAGCAACCCAACATACCTGCAGATCGTGGTGAGTTCATAACCGTAGTTACACTTAAGTTATATTATTTTACGTTCCCGAATGTAAATAAATAAAAAGCAGCAAGTATCTACACTGAACTTGTGTGAGCAGAACAGGTATGAGTAGGTTTGTAACAAATATTACTACGAGTTACGTGTATTGGCCAGTATCTATCGTTTTCAGTGGTAATTTATCTGTTGCTTTTAAAACATGTAGTTTGCTCTTCGTTCGAACACTAAAATTTGTGCTTGAAAAGTGGGAAAAAAGTGATTAGAAATTTATAAAAGATATTGTTTTAATAAAGGAAACACAAAATTTAACATTTATTAAAAAAAGAAAACGTAGAGTTCGTTTAAAATGTTTTTCGGAAAATCTTCAGAAAAGGGAAACCTTAACTTATACCAAAAAATTTATTAATTTATTGGCAAACAACAGGTAGGTAAGAGCAGATCGAGTCGTGGTCGAGAGAGCACCGATATTGTAGTAAGAATTCGGTTTATTGGCGTAAGTGTATGCGTGATCGTTTTCGTAAAGTATATGTGTGAGTGTGTGATTCTTAATGAATGAACTGTTGCGACGTTAGTAACGTTGCGAGGGGCAGTCATATATTCTCTTCTCACCTGGCTAAGTTAAATCCTCAATTGTCTGTAATAACAATATAACTGCAATGTGCGTTTTCAATACAGAATTTAAAGTGTTTTGTTTACATAGATACTTTGCGCAAGTGTTAGTGAGAATGTGTATCTGAGCGTAAATATTATTTATTTACTTTCTTCGAAATAAGTATGTAAGGGGTAAAGTTTGATATATTACAGTGTTTCAATGTTTTACTAAATAAAATCTTACCGTAAACCTGAAGTGATATGTTAAAGATCTATATGTATACTGAAAACATATATATGGTAAATCTGCAATAAACGAATTTATTTTAGAATAGATACGATTTAAGAGCACAGTTATTAATTACAATTTTAAGAATAATATTGGGAAAATATCGAATCTACTGCACTATATAGGTTTTCAATTTAATACATATAATATATAAATTGGAATATTTATTGCAGAATGCACATTTGCTCTTACTTATTTTTATTCATTTTTTTGATTCAGGTCAACACTTCAATTATTAAAATGTTAAATATAAATAAATTGTAGCGAAATTTAATGACCTTTTTCTTCTATATGGAAAATAATAGGACTTTATGGTAATAAAACGTTGACAATATACCTAGAAATACATAATAGTTATTTGACGTTAAAAGGAGATATAAATTTAGCTTATCAGTTTATATTTGGCAAGAAAATGTTTATTTATATATATTAAAGCAAGATATAGTGAAAATTTATATGGAATTCATTTTAAACTTGTAGTAATTCTTGTAGGATAATATTCATATATTATTCGTTTCGAAGTATAAAATATATTTGAAGCTTTTTACCACGACATTCCACTTTTACGGTATAAATTTAATAAGTTTAGTAAGATTTCATTAAAAAATAGCTTCACAGGGCATTACAATAAAAGTAATTTAAGTCAGTAACCAAATTGTATGATTGAACTGTGCGTGTTGGAATCTTGCCTCCACGACAGTCGGTAAATGAGAATGAAGAGCGCAGTCAGTGGCATTGCTCTCTTGTTTAGATGTATTCGTTTGACAACATCTTATACAAACAACAACAATGCGAGAAATAAATTTACTCTTCAACTCCTATTGAGTACAGCAGAAACAGAGAATTGCTTATTAGGAGAAATTCAGGTAAAGTTACCAATACCACTGCGTAATTATCACACAATTCTGTTAATATACGCTGACAATAGCTTATCGTCACCACCTGAATGAAAGAGTGAACCGCGTAGATGACAGAATCAACAACAACAACACCAACAACACTAACAACAGCAACAACAATAATAACAGCAAACACGATTTCTTCTTTTCGTTGCAAGCAATTAAACCAAAAATATATTAAAACAAAAAACAGAAAAAGTTTACCTACAAAATTTACGTTTATTTTTCAGTGTTTCCAACAAAGTTAGTTGCTGTTTCACCATCGAACAGAGAACGAGTTTGATCGGAAATTGAGTGGAAGCAACAGTGCGATCTTAACGATCTTAATTTGAAATAAATATTATTTAACATAATACAAAACTAATCCCTGTATTAGAAGAAAACTTTAAAATAAAACATTTACTGATTGAACTTTAAAACGTCTCCAACCGGAAAGGAATTAACACATTTCACAAAAAGTCGAACTGCACGTCTCTAAAGCATTTTTGACTTTTTGATTTTTAAAATAGAAAATTGTTAAAACTAAGCAATAAAAGAAAGTGAAATAAATTTAGTTCTATAAGTAACAGAAAACAGCCATAACTTGAATCAAAACAATCTAAAGTTGAAGAGTTGATAAAAGTGAACTAAAATTTTTGATAAACATAAGAGCACAATTTTACAAACTAAAAATATATAAAAAGCAACGAAACGTTTTTGTGTTTATGACATTTAAAGACAGTTAAAAAGCAAATATCGTTACTCCAAGTAAGAAAGTTTCAAAGAATAACGTAAAAGAGTGGGAAAAATACCTCCACTCAAAAAAATCACTTTTTTCATATAAATAAAATATGTAAAGAAAACTTAAACGAAAATTTAGTTTTTAATGAAGTCTCCAATATCAGTTCAGTTGTAAAAGGTGGCAGTGGGACGGAGTTGGATATACCAGTTGCTTGATCAGCTTGTATGGTTGCCAGTTTGTGTGGAACCGTGTACCTGTTGTGCTCAAATAAATTTGCAGCATTGTAAAGAGGAAAAATTAAGCAATATTGGAGCATACATATATAAAACAATTTTTTGAAGGATATATATTGAGCTTTGCGGTATATAAAGGATATAATGACAGGAATGCTTTATTATTTATATAAACAAATACAAAATGTTTGAAATATTAAGTATAATTTTAAAGTAATGTTAAACAAATAACGCGTGTGAAGCAACAAAAACGTTGTATATTCAAAGTGAAAATATTTTTAACGGTTAAAAACTTATAAGAGAATAGAGAATAAAACACAGTAACATCTTACAATCACGAAAGACAACACAGTTTTATTTACTCCTCATTCTCATTTTTGAGTTTTTTATATATTTTTTTAAACACAAAGCAAAAAAAAAAACTATAAAAATCTCAGAACTTGTTCTTCTTCAGCAGCAATTAATCAACATAAGTTTTAGCTTCTTTCTCATCTTCCATTCTTCTTTGCTGTTCCTCTTTTTGAACTGATGTGAATTTGGTCAAAAGCAACAAAACAACTTTTAAGCTTTCCGAGCAAGACACTGTGCTGTCACCAACAATAAACAAATTCTTTAACGAAAATTGACTCGGTTATAATCATAATTATTTTATAAACATCAAAGAAATTAGCAGAAGAACAGCAGAAGTATAAAGAAAAAATTAACAGCAAACAACTGCAGCAGAAATAATAACAACAACCACAATATATTAAAAACAATAACAACTGATCATAATAATCAAAGCAAGCAAAATTGTTTGTACATTTATTTATATGTGCATACTGCTCTATCTCTTGAGACATCTTTCCCGGCGACATTTAGGTGAGTTTACTGTATAATTTTAGTTAGTGCCACATTTCTGTTGCAACATGCGTGCAATAAAACAAGTAAGACAGCAACACTGGTAAACCCAACTTAGTCAACAACAACAATGGGCAAAACAATAACAACTTAAATTGCAAAAATAAATAACAGTAGCGTATTTTTCTTAGGGCGAAACCACCAAACAAAAGTCTTATATGTACATACATATGTTAATGCATAGTTTGTGTTCACATAAAACAATAACAAAAAAAATACATTTAAAAGATTTATTAAAATAAAAACAGAGCAGAACAGGTTTGTAGTCTCTGAACTCTACTAGTTCATTCCAAGAATATCCAGTGCTTAACTAATGACATAAGCGACATAAACTCCTCTAACTAACGATTATGTGTCTAAGTTATGTAAAAATCAGGGTTCAGAAAAACACTGTGCTGTGCACAAAAATGCAAAACACCACGCACAAATGTTGTGCGATTCTAAAATTTCACACCACAAATGTGGTGTGCGAAAATTTTTGTGCACATCTTAAGTGCACATCTTGTGTGCACAAACGAAACGCACATTTCACACGAGTGTGGTGGAGTGAAATAAAACTCGCACACGCATTCGTTGTTTGTGCCGAAGTTATTTCGCACAGCACATTGTGTGTGCGGCAGCCAACTTGCCCTCGCACACAACGTGTGCAGAAAAGAATACGAGAAGCACATTTTGTGTGCAGGCTCGAAAATAAAAATGCACCCAAATGTGCGGAGACGAAATGTCTACTGCACGTTTGTGTAAAATGATGATTTAAAAGCGCACAATATTATGACAAATATCGCAGCAAAATAGTACGGAAAACTGATTTGTATTAATTTTGGTCTTAATGCGAAATATTTTATTGAAGAAATAATTTTGTATTTATATTTTAATTTTGAATTTATTATTAGATTTACATTTATTGCTTATATTACTTATTTTTTTAAGGTTTATTAATTTAAAATATGGGAATAAAGTTAATTTCACAATGTACTTGAAAACTTTGTTATATTAAATAGGTACATGAATTTAATAGAGAAAGAGTATTTGTTTCGAAATGTTATAAGTAAAGAGGATCGGTTCTACGGATCGTACTTTGAAAAAATTAAATATATCAATTTTGGACTACTTCATAAAATTTTATTTAATAGTAAGTTGTACACTAAGATTCGTTAGTAAGGTTATAAAAAGCAAATTAAATATTTTTTACAACAACATAAATTAATTTTGTTATTAGATTTCAATTAATTTTTATCTTTAATTACAGCTTAAATTTAACAAAGTTATTGAAATAATTTTATAATTTAATATCTTAATTTCTTATTATAAAATATATAATTTTTATTACATATTTTTTGAAATAAATTTTCATTTAATCTTATTAATAACATTGCTGAAATATTTTTTTCACTTAAATTATATCTCTGCTTACTTATCACAGTAGAAAGGGCGCTAAAATCCTGCTACCTGTTCAAGAAAATATTTTCTTAATCTTTCGCGTTTTTTAATGAATGTTAGATACTCTACCTATGTGAATACATATTTCTGGAGAAGAAAAATATCTATTTGTGGCCCTCCCGTATTATCTTTTTTAAACTGTTGCAAAATTTATTAAACAAATACACCAATACCAATACCTGCTACCTGTTCAAAAAAAATATTTTCCTAATCTTTCATATTTTTTGGGCATAAAAAAATCTTCCTAAAATATGTTTTTATTTTTTTTAAACTGGTGCAAAACTTTCCAAACAAATACTTTAAGTTCACTTACTATATTTGCATTTAAAAATGCACAAAAGTTGGGAAGTAATATACAAAAAACTAATATTTTAAGTTAAAATACAAATAAGGTTAAGACAGTTATAATTTTTAGTTTACATTAATTAACAAAAATAATTATTTTAAATATTTGTTAATTTATGCAATTTTTAACATAAATTACGATCCCAACGAACGCAAATATCAATTTTTTCAAAATTTGCAACAAAATAATATTTTCTATTTCAAACAAAATTGTGAAGTTCCTGTAATTTTTTCCACCCTTGGGTGCAAGCGCAAAATCGCACATTTGTGCACGTTTGTGCATCGCACATTTGTGCACGTTTGTGCATCGCACATTTGTGCACGTTTGTGCAGTCGCACATTTGTGCACATTTGTGCAAACGTAATATGAGCAGCACACTCGTGTGCAAAGAGAATTTTTTGTCGCACAGTGCGGTGCGAGCATAAAATTTTCTCGCACATCTGATTGTGCACATTTTTAAAAATCAGTCACACAGCACAAATGTGTGTGCACGAATCTGTGTGCACAATCATCGCTTTGTGCGATGTGAAATTTAAAATCGCACAACAAATTTGAGTGCGTGCATTTTTTTTCTTAACACCACAAATGTGCGTGTGCATATTTTAAAAATAATTTCCACTCGCACAGTGCAGTGTGCGATTTTGTGCACCACATTCCGAACTCTGGTAAAAATATACATACACATATGTTATATGTAAATATATTAAATATTTGGGGGTTTAAAAGTTGTGGGTTGCATAAATCCAATAATATAACTTTTTCTGTAGAACCTTTTACATATTTGGTACATGTATAAGGTTTGTAGGAACTATTAATTTTATCTTATTTATAACTATTTCTAAATACTATTTTTTTTGTTATTCAAGGCTTTAAGTATCTGCAGCACATTTTTACGTGACAGGTAAAAAGCAAAACGATTCATTCTATTTTGCTAAATGATTAAAATCCTTCCATTTAACCAGTATCAATTTGATTAGATAGGGTCATATGCATACCTATAAAACTTTCTTTCACGCGTCTTCTCTGAAACTTATCACGTTATAATATTTTCTGCTGCTGTAAAAGGAGATCCGGAATCTGGTGAAAATTAAAACATAAATCAGTAAATAACTAATTATTTACTAATTTGTAGATAAAGAACATTTTTTGAAGATTGTATATATCAATATTTCATTAGATTTTATATTGAGATATTACTATGTAATTATCCAATATCTGGAGTTCTGACTGATACAATTTTGTATTTCTTACAAAAGTTCGCTCCTGGAATGAAATCAGGTTTTGGACTTGTGTGCGCAGTTGCAATCACAAAACATAAGCGCAATTGTGAATTTCCTCAAAATTTTGTAATATGCCATAAAAATATTTTTATTTTGCTGCCGCTTTTAGTAATTACTTCTTTTTACGTTTCTGGTCGACAATATTTAAATAGAAAGAAAATAATTTCATTCATATTACACGTAAACACATGCAACATCCACCGAGAGTAAGAGTTGGTGACATCGTGATTAATTGGGATAGCATTAAATACTTAGGTATCACGTTTGATAAGCGATTCACTTGGCATAAGCATATACAAGTCAAAAGAAGCAGTTGCGCTAAAACACTGCAATGCTTACAAACTCTTTTAAAACACAATAACCTTAGCGTGAAAAACAGAAAACTGAGCTATAGCCAAATAATTAGACCAGCATTACTTTATGGGTGTGTCGTGTATAGCAAAGCTGCCGACTCTACTATACAAAAGCTACAAGTTCCTCAAAGTCAGGCTCTCCGAAGGCTCTTCAAAGTGCCTTGGTACATCCGCACAAACGACATGCTAAGAGACCTTCGAATAGACCCGATCCAAAAATACATAAGGGACAGAGCGAAAATTGACAGGCTATCATACTTACCACTATCTAATCTTAGAGGAGGTACGCAGATCTTAGATCAATCACTGAATAATCATGAAGCTTATAGGCAATACATAAATTAGTCAATGAGATGGGTGAGACCCTGTAGTATCTTCAGCTATCAAAGAGTAAAAGTACCCAGTTGCACTGACTCGAAAAAAGGGTCAACATACTATTGGAATTATTTAATTTGTAAACAAACTTTTGTGAAATATAAAATCTCTTTCGATTATATTGACTGTTATGGAACCACTTCTTTTTAACAATGTTGAACAGGCTTCTTTAGAAATATGTATGTATGTATATTCTTCACTTTAAAGTATTGCTAAAGCTGAATAGTATATTACAAACTTCTCTATTTATCAAAACCTTAATTTAAAGAGAAAAATATATACAAAAGATAAAAAAGCAACTTAATATGTTAAAAAAAAAACCACGTGCCTTTACAAAGACATCACGAGTCGTGTCAAAATTTAGGGACATTGCAACTATTAGTTGATAGTTTCGTAAAACACATTTTTCATGTGGAGTCGATTTCTATGCCTTGCACTTTGATTATTCTATATTACTATATTTCCATTTTATATATGCTGACTTTTTTTATAAGCTTTATTATAGTTGAGTGCTGGGCTATTAGTCAGATTTTTTGATTTGGTTTTTTAATAAAATTTTTTTTATTGTTTTATTTATTTAATAATATTTCTGACATTTTGGTTGTTTAAAATCATCATCAAGGAAAAAAATTTTTATAACAACTGAATAGAATAAAATTTGTATATGAAAAAATTTTTTTGACATATGTTTTAAATAATTCTTCTTGATTCTTCTTCTTGAGTTAGTGCTATTACGCGCTTTTACTCTATAATGGCTGGTGGGCCCACACTACCCCACACTAGACTTTAACTAGGCTACTTTATCTTTAGAATGATTTTTCTAGCAATGCACAATAGACAACAAAAATATATTATTGTATATACATATATTATTGCTATATTCATTTATTAGTACTATATTTATTAGTACGCCATTAGTTGCCTTTTCTTGCGTCTGCATTATATCTATTTGATTTGCTAATCACAAAGAACTGTTAAAAATTGGAATTTCGTCTTAACATCCGCTGTAATAAGCTTTGTTTTTGAGCATTAATCAATTCATTTTCATGAAACTGCACATAAAAGTAGATATGTATGTATGCTGTCTCTCAGGTTTCATCACTGGCAGTAGTAGCTATACACCTGTTTAACTGAAAGACTTGATTACCAGAAGAGCACCAAAATGAA